CTACATCCACTTTACCCCCACCCCATCCATTCTTCCATCCTACATCCACCCCAACCCTACCCATTCTACCATGATACCTCTACTACCATCCCACGTCCATCCCCTACTCTACCCCCACCCTACCCCTTCTTCCATTCTACTCTACTACCATCCTACCTCTACTACCACCCTACCTGTTTTTCCATTCTACCTCTACTACCATCCTTCCTCTACTACCATCCTACATCTACCCCACCCTCCCTGTTCTTCCATTTTACCTCTACTACCTCCTACGTCCACCCCCACTACCCATTCTTCCATCCTAACTCTACTACCACCCTACCTCTACTACCACCCTACCTGTTCTTCCATTTTACCTCTACTACCATCCTACCTCTACTACTATCCTACATCTACCTATCCTACGTCTACCCTATCCTACGTCTACCTTCTACTTGTTTTCCCAGCCTACCTCTATTACCACCCTACCTGTTCTTCCATTCTACCTCTACTACCATCCTACGTCCATCCCCCACTCAACCCCCACCCTACCCGTTCTACCTCCCTACGTCTACTACCACCCTTTCTGTTCTTCCATTCTACCTCTACTACCATCCTACATCCATCCCACCCCACCCTACCCATTCTTTCATCCTACGTCTACCACCACTCTACCTGTTCTTCCATTTTACCTCTACTACCACCCTACCTGGTCTTCCATTTTACCTCTACTACCATCCTACCTCTACTACCATCCTCCATCTACCCCCACCCTACCCATTATTCCATATTGCCTCTACTACGATCCTATCTCTACTATAATCTTTTGTCAACCTCAATACTGCCTATTCTTCTGTCCTACCTCTATATACCATCCAACGTCCACCCCCAGCCTACATGTTCTTCCATCCTAAGTCTACCCTATCCTACGTCTTACCCTCTACTTGTTTTCCCACCCTACCTCTACTACAATCCTACCTCTACTACCATCCTACGTCCACCCCCACTCTACCCCCACCCTACTCCTTCTTCCATTGTACCTCTACTGCCATCCTACTTCTACTACCATCCTACATCCACCCTACCCCCACCCTACATGTTCTTCCATTTTACCTCTACTACCATCCTACCTCTACTACTATCCTACTTCCACCCCACCCCCACCCTACCTGTTTTTCCATTCTACCTCTACTACCATCCTACCTCTACTACCATCCTACATCCACCCCACCCCCACCCTACCTGTTCTTCCATCTTACCTCTACTACTATCCTACATCTACCCCACCCTACGTCTACCCTATCCTACGTCTACTCTCTACTTGTTTTCCCAGCCTACCTCTACCCCCACCCTACCTGTTCTTCCATTCTACCTCTACTACAATCCTACGTCCACACCCCCCCCCCCCACTCTACCCCCACCCTACCCGTTCTACCTCCCTACGTCTACTACCACCCTTTCGATCTTCCATTCTACCTCTACTACCATCCTACATCCACCCCACCCCCCCCCCACTCTACCCCCACCCTACACGTTCTTCCATTCTACTCTACTACCATCCGTCCTCTACTACCATCCTGCATCTACCTCACCCTCCCTGTTCTTCCATTTTACCTCTACTACCATCCTAAGTCCACCCCCACTCTACCCCACCCTACCCTTTCTTCCATCCTACCTCTACTGCAATCCTACCTCTACTACCATCCTACGTCCACCCCCCACTCTACCCCCACCCTACCCGTTCTTCCATTCTACTCTACTACCATCCTTCCTCTACTACCATCCTACATCTACCCCACCCTCCCCTTCTACCATCCTAGCTCTACCACCATCCTAGCTGTATCACCCTCCTATCTCTACCACCAGTCTCAGATCCAGGGGGAGAAGCGCCCCCCCCCCCCCCCAGCAAAGAGAGAGAGAGAGAAGGAAAAGAAGGGAAACGGAAAGAGAAGAGAAAGAAAGAGGAAGAAGTAAAGAAAAAGGGGGAAAAAGAGGAGATGGGAGGGGAAAGGGTGCCTCCCAGGCTGTTGGACCCCCCCCCTCTTATCTTAAAAATAATAGAAAGGAAAGGGAAATAAAGGGTTGGAAAAAAGGGGGACATCAGTTGCAACAAGTTGTGGATCAGGGGGGGGGGGAGGGGCCAAAAGACCATTGCCTCCCCAGCCCCCACCAACAATAAGAGAGAAGAAAGGGAAAGAGGAAAGCTAAAAGGAAAGAAAAAAAGGGTGAAATGAAGGGGAGATCAGTTGGGATTAATCTGCCCAACAACGTGTGTATCGGGGAGGGGGGGGGGGGAGGCGAAAGGCTGTTGCCTCCCTCCCCCAGCAAAGAGGAGAGAAAGGGAAAGATGGGTTGCAAATTGCGCCAACAAGGTGTAGATCGGGGGGGGGGGCACTGGCGTACTCATAAGATAATGACGTATCAAAATAGGCTAATCTGACCGTGATTGAATGCCAAAAACCCCTGAGCTTCCGGGGCTCTGCCCCGTAGACCCCACTTCAGTTGGTGTCCTACCGGTGTCACAAATAGGGTATTAAAAGAAAAGCTCACCTTACTGTATTTAAACGCCTAAAACCCTTTAGCTTCTGGGGGCTCTCCCCTGGACCCAACCTAGGGCCCTAAAGTGGACCCCTGGATGTTGATATGTCGGTCATATAATGCTTAAAACCTTTCGGATTCAGGGGGCTCTGCCCCCGGGCCCCTAGGCCAATTAGTGACCTGCCAGTGGCACAAAACAGGTATCAAAATATGCTCATTTGACCATAATTAAATTGACCTGATCTTCAGGTGGCTCTGCCCCTGGACCCCATCTATGGCCCTAAAGCAGTCCTCTAGATGCTAATCTGTCGCTAATTTAATTTATTTCCCTTTCTCTCCCTTTCTTTCCTTTCAGTTTTCCCTCCCCTTTTCTCACCTCTCCCGACGGCAGCGTAATTTTACTGACAGTAGCCTAACACCCCCCTTTATATAGCAATCCCCCTGCTCCGCCCCTGGACCTCACGCCAATTAGTGTCCTGCCAGTGTCACAAATAAGGTATCAAAATATGCTCATCTGACCGTAAGTAAACGTCTGAAAACCCTGAGCTTCCGGGGGCTCTGCCCCAGGACCCCACGCCAATTAGTGACCTGCCAGTGTCATAAATTATCAAAATATGCTCATCTGGCCACCATTAATAGCCCATACCCCCTGAGCTTCCTGGGAATGGGTGATGCAGATTTTTTGTTCCCCCCCCCCCCCCCAACGTTTTTGCTCATTACGTCACTGCTGGTCACCATTACGTACCAATATTTGGCTCGCATATTTTCAAATTTCGGCCCCCCCAAGAAATCCTGGATCCGCGCCTGCATAGTGGGTATATACTGGATTAACTTTATTTATTCTTTACATTGTGTATTCAGTGTTTAGACCCAACTGCACTTTTCTAAAAGTTGTACAACCTGAATTAAGAGAGAGAGAGAGAGATGGGGATCGTTTCAATAAAATGGGGTGGTGGTTTTCATATTTTTGCAAAAATGGCATGTGGTTAGTTCACCATTTTTGCTGAAAATGAAAGTTTTTAATTCTCTCCGGTTTCCCCCAGATCCCCCGCCCACCTCCCGCGCAACGCATTGAAGCTTTGACGTTTCATTAAATCATTAGAGAAAGAAGACGATTCGTTGTACCAACTCTTAATCATTGTCTGACTTTTCAAAAACGTTTCTTTGTCTGATAAAAAGTCACAGTTCTTAGGGAAAATAAAATTGCCGGCCGACCAACATAATACATCTCACCGACTTTAAACTTCTGCATTGATATAGTATACGAGGATCGAGCAAGAATGCAGACTCTTACTCCCACCCCTTTTCTCTCAGACTCTTACCCCCTTCTTTCTCTCTCCTCTCTTTCAGCTCCTGTTTCTTTTGTTTCCTTTTTCTCTTTTTTTCTCCTTTCTTTCTTTTCTTTTCTTTTCTTTCCTCTCCTTCCTCTTTTCTTTCTCTTTCTCTCTTCTCTTCTTTCCTTTCTTTTCCTTCTCTCCTTTTCTTTTCTTCTGATTTTCCCCTCCCCCTTTTCTCTTTTTTTACCGACAGCAGCGCAATTTTACAGACAATATCCTGATACACCCCCTCCCTTTAGCTAAGCCCCTGTCTGCTTACATAACTTTATCAGCTCCTTCCTTTCTCATAACTGAAAAAAGCTGGCTTCAAATCCTTCAAATCTTTGCTTGATTTCTTAAAAAGAACATCTGAAAAAATACCTCTACAATTTTTAATTTGTCCTTAGACTAAAAATACAGCGCCTTGTATCCTCTAGAAGAGGCGTTATATAAATCCTATTATCATTAATATTATTATTAACCAGCAATACACCATGAGTCTTTGGACAAAGATTTCTTTCTTTAAAGTTCACACTTTTATTTTCTTATTTCGATGAGAAATGTAAATCAAATATATTGTGCCCTTTTTTTGAGGCACCATTAAAATGGCCCCCCTCGGAAAGTAGTACTATATGGCAGTCATCTTGGAGAATCCATATTTTCAACAGAAGCCTCTCAGTGCATGGTACATTTGATCAATGTTTCTGACAGGGTAATAGTTCTGATTTATATTCCAAAGAGATCAGTTACATCAAAATAAACAAACGATACAATGTTTTTATTGACATCATATTAAGGCGCGCACACACAAAATGTTGCTAGAAAATTAGTGTTAACAAAAAAAATTCTGATCATCGAAACTAAAAAATTGTTTGAAAGATTTGGTCATTGAAAGACTTTATTGAAGAAAATAATATTTTAAGTATTATCGCCCGATGTATATAGTCCATCAAACTGGATCCCCTAAAACTGGTCTACACAAGATTTGCCATATCCCTCTTAGCTTGCAAATGCAACATCACGTACAGGGCTGAAGCATTTACATATAAATATAAAATAATCCAACATATACATAAGATTTATCATTATCTGTTATTGCATATATATTCCAAGATAAACAAGTATCAGCATTCAAAATTCATCTATTAAAACAGTAGAAAAAAGTTAATATGAATAATAATAATTCTGTGTTTTGTAATATTGCAACATACATATATTTCAATTTGTGCTTTAAAATCATACATTATTTTGTTCATTGAATGTGCACATCTCAACGTATCAGCTTAATTTATGGATATTAAGTAGGAGTAAATAAGATATGCAGCATATGATGGTTAATCAACATGTACAGAGTATCAACAATTTCAAATATATTTCTACAGCACTTTGATAGCAGATATCAACATTTCCGTATTTAAATTGTCTTTGCAGAAAGGTCAAATAACAAATGCTGTAATCATCCAGAGTGAATTGGAGTCATCAGATATTCCAGGTAAAAGCAAAAGAAATGACAGAATGCTTCTTAACCAGCGCTATAAAAACGTATCCTGCGATTGTTTGTTGATAATGTTCTCTTCACTTACCAGCGGTTCGCTATCTGTATTACGGTAGTCCCTCGACAACTTTTTGCTCAATTTTTTCTTCAAGCTTCCAGCCCGAGAGAAGCTGCCATTGGTGGCGGTCTTCAGCTGCAATTTGAATGCGACGTTGTCCTTCGACATAAGGTTGGGCGTGGTCACGATGACCGGGATACCAGGAAGACTTGTGGAACGATGGATATTGGTATCTTGCGGGTTTTGATTGTCTTGTGATTGAGGAGGCCTTTGGGTCCAGCTGAGGCCTCGTGTCAAGGGAGACTTGGTGTGCTCCCTGGATGCCTCGCCGTGGCACATGCTCGCAGATCTCTTTGGTTTACATGTTGGATCAGGATACCATCCAGGTTCCTGATTGCTTCCTGCAGGGATATCGCTTAGAGAGTCACTTCTTGAAGACCCGCTTCTCCCTACGTGAAGCAGAGTCGACATCTCACTCGATTGTTCTGTTTCATTAACATGCCTGGTTGGACTGAGGTTATTCATTTGTGATGAATTCTCAGTTACTCCATTATGGCAAGTCCTGTCTTTAGCATCTCCTGTAATGTCTCTTGCAAGACTCCTGAATCCATACGATTTGTTGGTGAGTAGTATCGAAGACGAGTTGAGAGGTGAATGGTCCTGAAACCTCTTCCCATTGTAAGTTCTATCAATCCCTTCATCCTGATGATGAAGCCCCTGTTGGGATGACCCTTCCCCCGTTTGCCCAACCCATGTGGGCTGGTGTGTTGGGGATGGGGTGTGATGGAGGGGCGACACCCTTTGGCTACTGAAGGGTGAAGGCTCGCATGACCTGATGACCCTTTCCACTCTGAGGACAGGGGATCTCTTGGGGTCTGGAGGTCTCATGATTGTCAGCTGTTTCTTCCGTTCAGTCAGCACCTTGGGAAGTGGTGTTTCTAAAACATCTGGGTCCTGCAAACAGTGGAAAAGTTCATACTAAAGTAATTTAGTTGCCCGTCATTATTGTGAATTATCAATTTATCTATTTGAAAGGCTTCCAAAGACAATACATATTCAACTAGATGGAACTTCAACTGCGCGCAGTCGAAATGATGCCTCCGTCATAGAGCAATTTTACAAACAAAAACAGAAGAAATTTTTCAAATTCAAGTTCAATTGTAATCCATTAACAGTTTCTCAGAATATCGTGATTACAAGCAATTTCTCATATACATATATGACCCTTTGATCTTTGACCTCATGACCCTAACATCTACTCAGTTCATTGGCTCTACAAGATGTCCCGAGTTAAATAGTAATCCATTTGTCAGTTCTAATGAGAATGCGTTCACGAGCTATTTTTGCATACATAATGAGCCGCATGACCTTTGACCTTGACCTTATGACCCCAAAATCTAATCAGTTCATCGGCTCTGCAAGTAACATACATGACCTAATTTTGGCAGGAATCCATCAATCGGTTCTTCAGATAACGCGATCACGAGCTGTTTTTGCATACATAATGAGCCCTGTGACCTTTGACCTTTAAACTCGTGACCCCAAAATCTAATCAGTTCATCAGCTCTGCAAGATACATACATGACCAAAGTTTGGCAGGAATCCATCAATCGGTTCTTCAGATAACGCGATCACGAGCTGTTTTTGCATACATAATGAGCCCTGTGACCTTTGACCTTTGAACTCGTGACCCCGAAATCTAATCAGTTCATCGGCTCTGCAAGATACATACATGACCAAAGTTTGGCAGGAATCCATCAATCGGTTCTTCAGATAACGCGATCACGAGAACGGGACGTACGGACGGACGGACGTACGGACGTACGGACGGACGGACGGACAACCCGAAAACATAATGCCTCCGGCTACTTCGTAACGGAGGCATAAAAATCATACTACGTAATTTTCAATTCAGATAGGCGGATAAATAATCTTGTCATGGTAGCATCTTATGATCATTTGAGCCATTAAACATATTTGTGTAAAGAGTCAGACATTTCAGTTCTTCAACTTTGCCAAAGTGATTAATTATGAAGTCCTTTTGATGCCACCACAAGTGAGATACTAGTCAGGCAACCAACATGGTAGAGTATTATCTGAACAAAGTTGCACATGCCTTATTTTCTTTATAAAGGGCTTGATGGAGTAAATATTTTAATATAACTTTTTTTAAATAAAAAATGCAATATTTATTATCACTAGAGCTATATCATCAGGTCTAGTCCTGCACTCACCTGTAAGCAGTAATTGATGCTTTCTAAGATGGTGGTGAATGGTGGTCGATCTTCAGGGATGTGACGCCAGCACTGGGACATCAAATTAAATCTAAGATTCAAAGCGGATCAAAAGGGTTAAAAGAGTTGACTGTCATCGAATGGGGTGAATTATATACCTCTATTTTGATAACTATTAATAGCAAAAGGCATGTAAGAAGAAAGATTAGAGGCAACAGCAGAAAGTTGTCTTTGTTTCCTTCTTCCTGGGGGTGTTTCACAAAGATCCTAAGTCAAACCTAACTCTAAGTTGGACATAAATATTATGGAGAGCCATTTGTAGTCTTATAATGAAATATATTCAAAAGCGAAAATTCAAGTATTTTAGACTTTTCCTAAATTCCACATCAAGAACATGAAATCTCCCATGATAATAGAACATATGAATGATTTGAATCAACATTTTCTGCCTTTTAAAATAACTTTTACAAAATATTTACATAGATGCTAACGGCTTTCCATAATTGTAAAGTCCAACTTAGAGATAAGTTCATCTTATATGATCTTTGTGAAACATCCCCCTGCTCTCTGTCCACAATGTGTCCTCTTTTCACAACACACTCTCCCAACTTCCCCAGCATGTCTAGATACCCCATGATCAAGGATTGCGCCCTACACATCATCACAGAGAGGAACTGGTGGGATTTGGTCGGTGTAACCAAATTCTTTTTTACGTGATCTACTTGAGACTATAACATTTATAATGCAAGAGGGCTTAGAGAGCCTTCCAATATAACTTATTTGGTGGTGGTGGTGGTGGTTATTTTACCTGGCTGCTAAGAAAGCATAAATGTTTGTTAGTAAGCAACCAGACGACCGATGGCTTTAGGTCCTCTCTGAGGGACCTGGTAATGAGGATTAATGCCTTACCAAAAGGCACTAGCGCATCAGAATAAACCTTACAGCCTGACAGAGTTAAGGCACAGCAAATCACCGTTTGTTGAGTTATTACTCAGGACTCCCTCATTCTAACTAACAAATAAAACATCACATGGGGGCAGTGGTGGGATTTGAACCCATTAAGGATGGGTTGCATTTCAACACGTACGATACATCATAGACAGGACAGACATCGGTAGGATGACCGTCAGGAACCATACCAATCTGGTCAGTGTGGTTGAAATTACTGGGCCCAGGATTGAGATTGACATCACCGTACTCGAAGAAGTTTTATTAGAAAAGATGATGTTGGATTAGGATAGTAGGCTGTAGCGAGTCCTAGAAACTTTCTTGAAGGCAGTCAAAAACCATGCAATGTGGATGTAGAAAAATACGGGTGTAGAAAGAGGCTGGTGTTTGAAACTATCACATTGCTGGCGCCAGGCAAGCACAAAATCAACAAAAAAGAAAACCACCCCATTATCCTTAGCATTGACTGTCATTCAGACAGATTTGGTCAATGGAGGCTGAGAGATCATGAATCCATGTAACATTACACATACAGTGTACAGCGACTTACAATCAGCAACTGAAAATGTTGCTCCTTCAAATGCATGAGAAACAAATGAAGAAATCTTTAAAAAAAAATCTTGTCAGCTAGATTCATGGTAAAATGAAGAAGAGACTGTTAACTTGAGCTCACTTTACTATCCAGCCAAATATGTGGAAATAATGAAAATCAAAGAGCTTGTGGGAGACAGCCTATCGGGCATCGATCACACTCTATATCAAGGGATCAGTGACACAAAGTCATAACTCCATATTACGCCAAGATGAGTATTTGATATCAAAATGTTCAGAAAAATGTGGGCTTTCCAGGAAACACAAAGACTTAATTCCACTCAATTGAAGTCAATGGCTAGTGAAACATAGACTTGACTCCTTAAAGATAAAGTTGAGTTCTGGTCATGCAATAACATTGTGAAAGAAAAGGTGTGGAATTGATCAGAAAAGGTTGATCATCTATAGCATTTAAGTATTGGTGTGTACTGCAAGGTTCTGGAATCGTCAAAATGATAACAAATTTGGACCATTATTTGTAAAAATTACATGTACACAAAATGATGTATATGAGGCTACACAAACATGTGGCATAAAAATCTGTCCCGATTTTTAAGTTGTTACATGCCATATTTAGAATATGAAAGCATTCAGAGAGCCATGCTTTTCAGGGAACATTTTTTATCTGATGTTCTTCCACACTTGCATAATAGCAATGATAACGCTCACAAATTATTTGTTCACCTCTTCCCAGAACTCAACTTTCTCTAAAGGCCCAAGTGCTCAGTGACACATAAACCATTTTTTCTAAAAATGGCCAAAATGGAGTTATGACTTTGTGTCACTGACCCCTCAATATAACTTATGCATTGATACTTACACAGGTTGGGGACAGCTTCTTGGTGGGTTCATCCTCTCTCCTGCTGATACAAACTGGATCACCTCCTGATTACTCATCCCAGGATACGGCATGAATCCTAAGGAGATGATCTCCCATAGCAGCACACCATATGCCCTGCACAGAACACAAACACTTTAGAAATGTAGTATTCTGGAACAGCAAAATACCCTACCAAGATTCAAGATTTTATTGTCCATAATATAATACAGAAATTTGTTTTCCATTGGTATAACATGTAATATATAAAACATAAGACAAAAACATGGTGTCGTGTGCTGAAAGCCAGAAGGGCATCAAGACTCTATAAATAAAAAGTCTACCACACAAGTAACCCTAACCCAAACCCAAATCTTGATCCAAATGACCATATTGCTAATCCTAATCCAAATCCCAACCCTTATCCCAATACTTTGTACTGATGCACGGTGGAGTATTCTGCAGTTTATTTAGCCATGGCATATCAATAGCAATAAAACAATACTTAAAATTACAACAGGAAAACTACAATGCATATTTTGCCACCTTGATTTGTTGTTTGGATTACAGTTGAGAATTACAAGTTGCTAGACCCTAAACAATTTTAAATGATAATATACTAGCATGATTTTATAAAATTAATAGATTTGATTGAATTCAAATTGAACTGAAGTTTGATGAAAGTTGGTTGAAAGGAGAATGGTGTAAAAAACCTCCTCAAATAATCAGAACAATTAGATTTGATCTCTGAAGAACAAAAAAGAGACCATTTCAGTGATTAAACTTGTCATAATCACAAATATGCCACTTATATAATAATTTATTATTCCTAACATGATGTCACAGACAGTGTAATCAATTTGGATCTATGATTACAAGTATATAGGACATAAAGCCCCTCTGCACTAGTTTGGCACGGAGGGATTAGACCTCCCTGCAAGGTCACTGGCAGGTGGTTATCTCATCAAATCAGCTCTCAATTAACATAAGAAAAAGGGCATCATGGGGGATCAATGGATACCACTTAGGCATTGTTGGCTATATAGAGGGCCCAATTAGCTATAAGTAGTGCAGTGGGGATTTAAGCGACAAGAAAACAAAATCAACATACCAGACATCTGTTTTCGATGTGAAGATGCCATCTTGGAATGCTTCAGGAGGCATCCATTTCACAGGGAGCAGAGCTTGTCCTCCTTTGCGATAATAATCAGCCCTTTCAAACAAACAAGACACAAGTAAGGAACGTAGGTACATATATAGTCAAACCTGTCTATAGCTACTGCCAAAGGGAAACACAAAAAGTGGTCTTTGCAGACAGGTTCATTTAGTACATGTCTCAATGAGAAACCATTTTCAAGGGAAACAAAAAAATGTGGTCTTTGTAGACAGGTGGTCACTAAAGCAGGTTTGACTGTATATATATTTAGACATAAACTTGAAAAATTGGTTAATAAATCATTTTTTTTAAATACTTCATATCTTAACAGTCATTCTATTTTTTCCCTTTGGAACCCCTCTACCTCTTACTATATAGAATGCCGATCAAGGATTATTTAGGGCTACAGTAAAAGTAAGGAATGAACAAATTCAACAATCATTACTATATTCCTTCAACTACCGTATGAAATAGCTGAAAATGAAAAGAATTTCAAAACTCCTTCATGTTTGTAACATTATCAAGTATCTTGTTCTTTTTTCGGGGGTACATTTGTGGAGCAATCCATCTTCTAGTGCAGCCTCGCATCAAATGCTTGCCAAGACAAATAGCAGATACAAATTCTTACCTGTAAATATCCCTGGCCATGCCAAAGTCTGCAATCTTTGCAGCTCTACCAGACTCCTTGGTGGTGAGTAAGATGTTCCTGGCTGCAATGTCTCGATGGATGAAGCGTCTGGATTCCAAGTAGCGGCATCCTTGAGCTACATCCTGGGTGATCTGTAGCAGGTCTTTCATCGTGATGGATGAAGGCTTTTCCTAAAATGGAATTATAAAGGAGTCATTTTCTTAGTTTACTATAACTTTAACTATTGCAAATTGAATTATTGTAAAAGTCAATGTTATTAGGCTCCTTGTACTGAAATTGTATGGATATATGCATTTGTATGATGAATAATTTATATATGACCCCCCCCCCCCCATTTTACATTTTAAATTGAAGTCCAAGGCATGTATGTGTGCGTGAATCTGTGAGGGTGCGTGCGTTTGTGTGTCTGTGTGTGATAATGTATGTAGTCTTGTTTTTGTTTTTTAAATCTTTAAATGTTTTTCACTTTTTCTTCTTTCAGAATTACCATGTTACAAGCATTTTGCTTTTCAGTATTCCTAACCATAATTTTATTTACTCTTTAAATTGATATACTGTTACTGTTTTTATTTGATGTTATTTTATGGTTTAATAAATAAATCCAAATACAAATAAAACTCTAAAAGGTTCTACTCATATGTCATATAATCCTTGGACATCTTTAACAGGTCTTTCATGGTGATGATAGAAGGCTTTTCCCAGAAGGGAATTCCAGGGGATTCACCTCAATCCTCATGCTACTGAAACGTCCAGGTATTACATATAAAACATAACCCTTTTCTTGCCAAAGGAGAATATTAGTGTTGAACAAGTAGTTTGGACTAAGAGTCGATAAGATTGGATTGGATTGATTCTTTCAAAACATTGAGTGATTTCAAGTTGGGTGTTAGTGTTAGTGTTAGTGTTAAGAGCAGTCAAGAGCTCTTAAATCGAGCGAAAAATTTGCTGATGAAATTAAGAGCCCGATACCGATATCAAAATCGATAGCTTAACACCAGCTGTGATGTCACCACATACTTGATTTCACGACGATGATTTAAAAATAGTACATAAAAACTAAACATTTCATGAAAATAACAGAATAAATATGAACCTATTTTTCTGGTCTTATAAAATAACTCATTTTACACAAAATAATATAAGAATTACCTGTTTCACCATTTTGTATTTGATCGTCAGACAATAAATTAGTGTCGTTCGTGCAATGACTGTTGTGCGGTACAACACTAACACTGAACTGGAAATCAACATTGCTTAATCCCTAGGGGCTAGTGTTAGTGAATAGGACATTTGTACATAAAATATTAACACCAGCCACAAAGGTCGGTTCAGCAGACGACAATTTTGCAAAATCGATAACACTAGCTACCGGAATTTGACGACATTCAGAGGTCAAAGCCTTAACACCAGCTGATTTCCATTTCAGTGTTTAGGCTGGTGTTAGTTTTTATCAAACACTAACACCAGCCTTAAACACCCAACTTGAAATCACTCAATGGCTTATATTTTAAGGTTTTGCTCCACAACTTTTGATTCAGAGCCCTAAAAACACACCAAATGCATGAGTACAACAACAAAATTGCTTAACACACAGTCCTATTTTTGTTACAATACCATGCTCCATTTATTGAGAGGAATTGAGTGGTTCAAAATATTATCAAAACAAACTGGCACTTCTACCACATAGTCTTTGCAAATGTAGACTTTATGGCCCAAATTCACAAAGGAGGTTTACATTTAACCCATGGTTTAAAAATTAGCGCAAAATAAGCGTACCTTGCCTTGCATGCGTCTAATATTGGACCTCTTGACTGTGTTGCGCTTATTTTGTGCAAATTTTAAACCATGGGTTTTGTAAATGAAGGTTTAAACCATGGGTTAAATGTAAACCTCCTTTGTGAATTCGGGCCATTGTGATCTTCAGATACATGACTTTTTATAAGAAAAAAAGATTATTGCCAATCTGACCACTGAATTTAGCCGTTGAATAATTCCTGTTTATCTCAACTCCATACCTCAGTGGGTCTGATGTCCCTGAGGAACTGTTTCAATTCTCCCCCTTCCATGTACTCCAGAACAATAAAATGTGGTTTCTCCTTGAAGCAAATACCCAGCAGAGAAACAACATTGGGGTGGTCAAAGTTGCCCATGATGAGTGCCTCCATTAAGAAATCGAGTTCATCTTGCTCTGTACAATGCTCGGGTAGAGTCTGGAAAGAAGATACAAGAATATGGTATCAAATAAGAATAATGATATGGTTTGATTTACCTACATATGTCAGGTAGCCTCATCTGTGAATACAGGGGAGTGTTTCAAAAAGCTGTGCGTGAAGTTACGAATGACTTTATAAATGACTTGAATATGAAGAGCTAAATGGGATTCTCAATTGCATAAGCTAAAGTTGAAATACAGTATGCTGATGTAGATTAACCTTATCATTATTAACAAAATATTTTAATGCTATGGGTATTTTTGGCTACAATTTAATTGAGATAATGGGAAATACAATCACACTTCGTTAAAATATCAGGAAAAACTTTGGGCATTCCATTTGGCTCTTCATATTCAAATCATTTGTAAAGTCATTCGTAACTTTACGCACAGCTTTATGAAACACCCCCTGGTCTTCCTAATAAAGGGCCCTGCAATTGCTATTACCCTTCCATTGCCTAAGACCCATGGGTATATATACCGGTACACACCTCATCCATAATATAGAACACCGGACCTCTCACATGCGAAACAAGAGCCTTAAAAAAATATATCACAGTATCCTCTCACATATGAATTCATTTCTCACAGAGGTTTCCTCTAAGTTGCTAATGAGGTTTGTACTTAAATACATAAATAATCAATTGAAAGGGTTTCTCATCCTCATATAACAGATGACTAGGAAGAATGATTTAAACATAAATAACAAATAAAATTCACCAAATTACAAATGTGTGTTCTTTAGACATTAAGGTAGATCAATTATTGCTGGATCATACAACAGTTATACACATGTCTAGATTAATTTTCTTAAGGATATTCTTACCTTGACTGCAATGTCAATCTCAGATTTCTGGTGAGGAGGTTGGTATACACCTCGGAAAACTTCACCGAATGCTCCTTGTCCAAGAGCACTAAATGTAATAAAAAAAAAAACATTATGAAACAATTTGGTGAATATTCCTCACTTCAATTACAGAAATGCAATTAATCTAATAAAGAAACTTGTAACTTCTGATGACGTAGGCAACATGTATCTTTACCTTAATGTTGTTTGAGTGTAAATATCAATCTGTACATCCATACTTCTACAATATCAGTAATTGTATCCAATTTGAGGACAGACCGTTTATCTTTCTACAAGCAAACAAATATTGAACCAATCTTTGAGAGATGCTGGATATATGAGTTTAGGAAAAAGTGTCAAATTAAGGTTTCTGTCAAATAATAACGCTAATAAGAACTCTACACAGCTTTATCCATAATAAATGGATCTTGCAAAAAAATGTTCACAATTTTCACGAGTGGTTCACGTATCAGAAAAGTTTCACGCCATTTAAATTGATCAAAATAGAATCAACACAGAAATTGGCAAAAAATGCAAGTAGCTACAAGTAGTACAGTGGGGCTTTAAATTTACCTTATTAGTCTTAGATTTTCTCTAGGTAGCTCTTTAAGGTCATGTGATGTTGCTGGACTGTCCTTTCCTGGGATTGTGTAGCAGGGGTTGACATCAATAGCAAAATTGTTTCGAAGCTGGGATAGCTGGTAACTGGCTTCCATTTTGTTCTCTGCTACTTTCAACTTGTGTTCCTTGTACTTGAACACTGTGGTATAAATATATATATCTATTTCAAATACTATTTCAAACTCATGGCTATCCTAAAATCAATATCCTTCTCTCATTTTTCTGCTTCAGAGCTACTTGCTATCAAGCTTGGAATTTCTGTTTAATCAACAACAACAAACAATATATACATACACCTATCAAAGCCAGGTCAAATGTCAAACCTACAGCTATCTATAGATTCAATGAAATTAGGTCATGGAATAGACAAATTCATTTGGTGCAACAAAGCATTCATATTGTAGGAAGGTAGTCAAACTGTTAAAATGCATTTATATATGAGAATGTTTCACATAGTGAGAATGCATTCATACTGTGAGATTGTATTCATATTAAGAGAAAGAATTCACATTGTAAGAATACATTCATACCATTATAAAGCATTCAAATTGTGATAATGTATTCATACTGTGAGATTGTATTCACATTAAGAGAAAGAATTCACATTGTAAGAATACATTCATACCATTATAATCCATTCAAATTGTGAGAATGCATTCATACTGTGAGATTGTATTCATATTAGGAGAAAGAATGCACATTGTAAGAATACATTCATACCATTATAATGCATTCAAATTGTGAGAATGTATTCATATTCATATCTTACCAAGACAGATTGACATAATGGTCAGGAAAATAAAGATGAGAAGTATGATGATAATACTGATCTTTGATACCGGGAAGGAGTATCCAGGAGGTGAGGCTGTGGTGTCTGAAATAATATAAGACATTGGATAAAAATCAAAAGGAAGCTACTGCATTTAAAGCATGATTATTCAACATACCAGATGCAGAATCAAAGTGTTAACACAGCGTAGCATACTACAGTTTTCCTTGGTACACAGTGTCTATGGGCAGTATTCTTCAAAACTGACTAACTTCAGTCCATGGTTCAATCTTCTGACTAAGTATGAACTGCCAAGTGTCCATATGAATATGTTTTTTGAATAATATGTTTCAGTTACAATTTCTTCTTTCATATAATTGTTTAGCAAGGTACTACAGAGCAAGATCAAGGTGAATTCACACTTGTTTATAATCATATGACAATCCTGAATTCAAGTTTGACTGTCCTACACAATTTTGGGGGGTTTAGGGGTCCTAAGAAACGACTAGTTTTTACTACTTGATGTCTTCATTTTTCAGTTGTATACTCAAAATGTCATGAAATAGTTTTAAATACTTTCAAACAACTTGGTAATAAATATATTACATAATGACACATCACACCAAGAATATATACTCACATAGACAGCTCTGTTTATCAGGTGATCTAAAGGAACCTTCTGGGCAGAAGATAGTACCAACAATCAAAACCTCACCCGCACCGGATCTTGCTCCTGCATTCAAAATGACAAGAATATCAATATTTCATTAGCAATGATATAATAAAAAAAAAAATAGTGGGGAGAGAGGTGTCATACACTAATGTGTTTTGAAAACATTGTTTGAAAACAGTATTCATATTCCACTCAATCATAAGCTATGCAAAAGAAAAGCAGGAAGTAACCTCTTCAGGACAAGAAACAAAGGCTTGTTCTGCACTTTATTTATTTTATTTATTTGTCCTTTTATTTTGACAGGGTAACCCTTTCAGTTATAACTAGATGGAATTTTGACTGCGTGCAGTCGAAAATGATGCCTCCGCCATAGAGCAATTTAAACAAGTTTGGAGTTTAAATCTCCAGTGGTTCTTGAGATATCATGATAACAATCTCAATGTATGGAATTTCATAAGTTGACCTCTGTGACCCTTGACCTTTGACCTACGTGCTCCAAAATCTAATCAGATTGTCTTCCTATGGTGATACACACTATCATTAAGTTTGAAGTTTAAATCTCCAGTGGTTCTTGAGATCTTATGATATGGTGATACATACTATCATTAAGTTTGAAGTGAAAATTCTCCAGTGGTTCTTGAGATATCGCGATAACGATCTCAATGTATGGAATTTCATAAGTTGACCTCTGTGACCCTTGACCTTTGACCTATGTGCTCCAAAATCTAATCAGATTGTCTTCCTATGGTGATACACACTATCATTAAGTTTGAAGTTTAAATCTCCAGTGGTTCTTGAGATATTATAACAATCTCAATGTATGGAATTTCATAAGTTGACCTCTGTGACCCTTGACCTTTGACCTACGTGCTCCAAAATCTACTCAGATCGTCTTCCTATGGTGATACATACTATCCTTAAGTTTGAAGTTTTTACATCTCCAGTGGTTCTTGAGATATCATGATAACAATCTCAATGTATGGAATTTCATAAGTTGACCTCTGTGACCCTTGACCTTTGACCTACGTGCTCCAAAATCTAATCAGATTGTCTTCCTATGGTGATACACACTATCATTAAGTTTGAAGTTTAAATCTCCAGTGGTTCTTGAGATCTTATGATATGGTGATACATACTATCATTAAGTTTGAAGTGAAAATTCTCCAGTGGTTCTTGAGATATCGCGATAACGATCTCAATGTATGGAATTTCATAAGTTGACCTCTGTGACCCTTGACCTTTGACCTATGTGCTCCAAAATCTAATCAGATTGTCTTCCTATGGTGATACACACTATCATTAAGTTTGAAGTTTAAATCTCCAGTGGTTCTTGAGATATTATAACAATCTCAATGTATGGAATTTCATAAGTTGACCTCTGTGACCCTTGACCTTTGACCTACGTGCTCCAAAATCTACTCAGATCGTCTTCCTATGGTGATACATACTATCCTTAAGTTTGAAGTTTTTACATCTCCAGTGGTTCTTGAGATATCATGATAACAATCTCAATGTATGGAATTTCATAAGTTGACCTCTATGACCCTTGACCTTTGACCTACGTGCTCCAAAATCTACTCAGATCGTCTTCCTATGGTGATACATACTATCCTTAAGTTTGAAGTTTTTACATCTCCAGTGGTTCTTGAGATATCATGATAACAATCTCAATGTATGGAATTTCATAAGTTGACCTCTGTGACCCTTGACCTTTGACCTACGTGCTCCAAAATCTAATCAGATTGTCTTCCTATGGTGATACACACTATCATTAAGTTTGAAGTTTAAATCTCCAGTGGTTCTTGAGATCTTATGATATGGTGATACATACTATCATTAAGTTTGAAGTGAAAATTCTCCAGTGGTTCTTGAGATATCGCGATAACGATCTCAATGTATGGAATTTCATAAGTTGACCTCTGTGACCCTTGACCTTTGACCTACATGCTCCAAAATCTAATCAGATTGTCTTCCTATGGTGATACACACTATCACTAAGTTTGAAGTTTAAATCTCCAGTGGTTCTTGAGATATTATGATAACAATCTCAATGTATGGAATTTCATAAGTTGACCTCTATGACCCTTGACCTTTGACCTACGTGCTCCAAAATGTAATCAGATTGTTTTCCTATAGTGATACACACTATCATTAAGTTTGAAGTTTAAATCTCCAGTGGTTCTTGAGATATCATGATAACAATCTCAATGTATGGAATTTCATAAGTTGACCTCTGTGACCCTTGACCTTTGACATACGTGCTCCAAAATCTAATCAGATCGTCTTCCTATGGCGATACATACTATCCTTAAGTTTGAAGTTTAAATCTCAAATGGTTCTTGAGATATCGCGCTAACAAACTCAAAACAAGGAATTTCATAAGTTGACCTCTGTGACCTGTGACCTTTGACCTATGTACTCCAAAATCTAATCAGATCGTCTTCCTATGGTGATAAATACTATTCCCGAGTCTTAAGTTTAAATCTTAAATGGTTCTTGAGATATTGTGATAACGGTCAAACGGGACGGACGTACGGACGGACGTACGGACGTACGTACGGACGGACAACCCGAAAACATGATGCCTCCGGCACCACCTTCGGTGGCGGAGGCATAAAAACTGCTCAACCAAGGGGCCCTGTATCAACATAATCAAAAATATATTTACAAAACATATAAACATACATAAGTTTTATGAACACAAAAATGAAACAAGATAAAATATTGAAATAAATGGGGGGGAGGGGGTAAAATATTCATGTAAGTACTATTTTAAACTATGTGAGAGAAAGGAGTTTGCAGTGTTTTTTAAATGAATCCAGTGAGTTTAATAACCGTAAAGAAGGGGGTAATGCATTCCATATAACGGAGCCTTGATAACAGAAAGATCTTTTGAAATACTCAGTTTTGTGTTTTTTAATGAATAGAGGTCAGGTAGTTGCATACCTGGTATAAACATTTATCGGTCGATAGCACACAATATCCTTCATATATGTCGGCATTTTATTATTTATCACCTTTTACATCCATATTCTAAATTGGTATTGCACTCTCTCAACAACCTACGAGGTGTCATAATATCTAAGTTTAGTATTAAACGGAATAACGATTTTGAAGCTTTTGTAACATATATATTCAATATTTAGTTTCTTGAGTAGGTTTGAGTACAAATTTTAATGCAGATCAATAGTGTGATCGTCTACAATTTGAAGAAGATTTAGACACAACAAAAGACAGGATTTTTAAGTATCCTCAACATTATTTAAAACCTAAAAAAGGAAGATGTAATTTGCTTTGATTTCTAAATTGAATATAATTGCCATTTCTTCAAAAATGGGATCGCAGAAGGGTTTAAAGTGACTCAGTTATCTTTGTCTCAGATTCTGAAACAAAATCCTGGATTTAGCTCATGCTGCAATCATAATTATAAACCTTCAGTCAGGAATCCCATGACTGTTTACAAATCCAGGGCCGTAGCCTTAGTTTTTTTTTTTTTTTTTTTTTTTTTGGGGGGGCACATACATGTAATCCATCGACGTCCTCGGGAGCCCCCCCCCCCCCTCGTGGCGTTGTGCCTGTACAAATCGATCACTAGTCTGATTATCAAGATATTTATGATTGGAAATCGAAATTCAAAGATTTGTGTTCCTAACAGTTTTTATTACACTACGGTCTATTGTGGAAAATGAGTATGTTAAAACCGGTCACTCAAAGATTTTTACTTTTTTGAGGCACTTCCTGATCATTTTGAAGCGCAATTTTTTTAGAGCTCAATACTACACCATAGGCCTATCACAGACACTGATAACACGTAAGGCCATGCATCCCAGATTTAACATTGTTAAACGATGCCTTTAAAGATACTATGTCCCTTTTGCAGCCAACCTAAAATTCTGTAGAACTTTGCAGGAATTATGGATATGTCATGTATGTCCTATATGTGAAATTTAAACATTAGCAGTGTCCTAATATTCAAATTATGCAAGGAAACCTGTTTACTTGCTAGACTTCACTGTCAGACACTATTGAGTGACTGGCTGGCTTATTTTCTTCTTTGGTAATAACATACATGAAAAGAGTTGTAAAGGGTACATGAGTATTTGTCTACATGAATAACCCACTTCTTGTGATGGCCAAGATTAAACTGATTGAATCTTTGCGCAGCATAAAACGTATGACCATTCGGTACAATTGTATGAAAATCAAGACTATTACTTTTGGGCTCTACAGCCCTAAAGTCGATTTGACAACTAATAGTCGTTATTTTCCCACTTGAAGACATTTTCAAGCCCCACCTTTTTTAGGGAAGTTCTAATTAGTATTATCTTTCAAATGCAGTTGGAATTTAACTTTTTTATTTTTTTGGCCTGCAAATGGGACATAGTACCTTTAAAACTTACCAGCTACTGCTACTGGTTCCATGACTGAAGGGTGAATGAAGGACATTCCTCCTTGACCATCGCCCTCTAGTGACTTGACTAGTGAAGCATCGCCTCCTGATTGATCCAAACAAATATCAGAGAAAGATCAAGTTCTATTTTCTCTTAGAAAATATTAAATTATACATGCACCTTAGGAATAATCATTGCAAATGTGCAGTCAAACCTATGTAGCGACCGCCAAAGAGAAACACACAAAATGGTCTTTGTAGACAGGTTCCTTTAGTACATGTTTCAATGAGAAACTTTTTTCAAGGGAAACAAAAATATGGTCTTTGAAGACAGGTGGTTTTTGTAAACAGGTGGTCAGTAAAGCAGGTTTGACTGTATTGGTCTTCCTTCACCAACGACCAAAAAGAGAGGAAATTTATGATGGTTTTAGTATTGGGAAAGCTAGGAGATTAAAAGATTGCTAAATTGTATTTGATGGAATTCGTTTCTAACAATTCTTTCATGTCTTTATATCGGTTAGTCTGTTCTGTTCTCTCATTTTTCTGCTTTCATTGAATCTAATTTCATATCATGATGGACCTTCCTCTTTGTATTGTAGGTTAATTCAGTCAGTCTGCAGATTGGAATACTAAGGGGCAAGCAAACAAGCAGGATTCATCCAGATCCTTTCATGGCCAAATCTTTGATCTTCTCTTTCTTTCTTTTTCCAACATTTGCTTTAATATATTCCCATGTAAATCTTTCACATGTACCCAAGGCATGCTCCTTCTGTTGTGTACATATTGTACAAATAAATGTGACACATCTTAACACCATGCTTTTGAACTATGCTTTTAATACACTGTATATCTCATTTGAAACACTTTGTATAATATGAAAAATATGACTGAGCAGAAAAAATGCTACTTTGAATGAATATGAATGGAATATAATTCCCCTCCCCCCTTCATACCTGTGTAGCCCCCACCACCACCGCCTGTGGTACACGCCCCTCCTCCTCCTCCAAAGCCCCCATGGGTGTTCCATCGGAAGTCCTCATAGGCTAACAAACATTCTCTACCTCCGGTCGCCCCTTGGAGGAACGATCTACCGGTAGGCTCATGATCCCTGCTAGAATTCCAGCCCCCTCCGGCTCCTTAAATGATAGGCAAAACAAAACTGTTTTTTATTAAAAGGAGATATCACTCATGATATAATAAAAACAAAAAAATAGTGGGGACACATTATCATTATAATTGTCATCAATATCGCCTTCAAAATAAGCATATAAAGATAATTTAAATACTATTTTTATCTTCTATGTTATCATCACTATCAATTTTTGCTAGAATTCCACGCCCCCCCCCCCCCCCCCCCCCCCCCTCCGGCTCCTTTATCAAAATAAGTATATAAAGATAATTTAAATACATATTTTTATCTTCTATGTTATCATCACTAACAATTTATTACCATTATTATCATTATCATAATCATTATCATAATCATTATCACTATCTTTATCATTTTTATTATCGATGTTCATGAAGCTAAAAACAATGATATCATCACATTTTGACTATCATTATTTTATCATTTCATGATCATCATTATTATGACCACTTTCATCATCATATAATATCCCTTCATCATGCTGTTTTGAATGCGGATGATGATGACATCAAAGATGATGATCATCATCACTGTTACGATCAAAAGGTAAAAATACTGACCAGCCGTGTCCATTGCTGAGACATTATGCTGTCCAGAGACACCGGTGCCTGGTGACCCCACCCTGCCATCACTATAACTGGTAGACGGGGAGGGGCTAAAAGCAAGACCCCCACCCCCAGCAGCAACCAAGAGAGGAGTCAGCTCGGGTGAAGTTTCACTCTTCTAAAGGTGTCATACAGAAAAATTGATTTAATAATGATGATTGCACAGACTTTTAAGAAATGGACTTGAAAATTTGGATTACCTTAGATTTAGTAAAGAGCAACGTCCATACCATAATGTAAATTCAATAGAAGTCACATTCAGATTACATAATAATATCTACATGACTGTAAAGTTTTCATGTTCCACAGGTGATGGACACAGCTATGGCCTTTTTATGATTTTTCTTAGGATTTTGCAATTGTTTGTTTTTATAATGTGAATGAAATAAAGAGACTAAGCAAAAAAAAATGAAAAAATTAATATAATTGAAAAAGGCATTGCTACTGTTCTGTTTAAAATACAATCATTACACAGCATACTTAAAAGAGAGAAAGACAGCAACTGAAAAGAAAATTCTTGCATTCTGCTGTGATTTCACTCAAAAAGTGGAATATGTAGTAGTAAAAGTGTATTCATGAAATGTTATTTCCATGCATTTTTTTTAGCAGAACTCAATAGATATGTCCTCATCAGCTGGAGATTGCCAAATAGCCCACTATTTCTGATTTGGGAAATGAGCCTGAAGTTACAAATCACGTCATCATCAGCTCAAGACTCGAACTCGAAATCAAAACTTAGCATTCTAGCCCAAGATATCTTGGGATGATTATTTCGTCCAAATATCCCGCTAATTGCAACTGCGGGCTGATGATGACACACATTAGCTGGATAATTTGCGATTGGGATAATTGAAATTGCGAGTTATTTGTCAATCTCGAGCTGATGAGGACAGGCCTATTGTGTCCTTTAGGATAGACTCTAGTTTATCTCCTAGTTACCAGGGCGATGAAAGTTCCTCCTCCACCAGCTCCTCCACCTCCTGCACTCAAGCCTCCCTCAGCCAGCTGCAGTCTGGCTTTCTCATCAACATTCCCAGTGCAGTAGTGAGCAAATAACACATCTGGATCCTACTCGGGCAAAGGCAATAAACCAAGGAGGTGATTACAGTTTTTCATTTAAATATAACAGAACATGGTCAGATTCAGGGCTGAGAGATATCACAAAAGAAAATTTGAATTATTCTTATGGACAAATTTTAATATGAAACACTGAAAATAAGAACTAAATTTAGCAGATCTGAATACTGTACATTCATAAATGTAGGTCCAAAAAAAAACACAAAAAAAAAAACTATTTATAAAATAATATATCATTGAACAATTAAAGGCTAAGTCCACTCCAAAAATAATTTTGCTCTTAATTGATGCAGAGAAACAGAGCAAAACAAAATGTGTAAAATCAGAAAATCACAACACAAATTGCTTATTGGTAATCAGTTTGTGACGTCATTGCCTCACTATTTATCAATTGCTGTGTGTATTTTTATCCTATTAATTTCCCTTTTTATCCCCCAAGACTTGATTTCCCCATGCCTTTGCCCAGGTTATATGAATTGTATCATATTGCATGCATGAAATTTCACATTATGAACTTTGAAGAATTAATACTATTTTCTGAATATTGTATATTCATAATCAATAATATTTACGTAAATATTTTATCAAAATTCAAATGTTTCATGATTTAACTGAAAAAAGATTACCCTATATTAGAGCATGCATATAAAAACACTACGAATATAACTTGGATGCTGGTGTGAGGAAATTAGATTTTAGAGGTAAGATTGGAAATTTATATTATCAATATAAAGAAAACAATTACCGGTAGTGGATAGTGAGGCAATCACATTACAAACTCATGAGTAAGTTGCCAATTTGTTTTGTGATTTTCAAAGTTTTTCATGTCATTAAAAATTCATAACTTTCTTATCAGGTATCCAATTTTGCTCAAACATTTTTTGATTGGTTTGATTGGCTTGTCTGATTTTTCTGCTTCTTTTGAAAGTAAGTTATTTTTGGAGTGGACTTTCCCTTTAAGAATTTAGTTATTTTGTGTGTTGGATAAGAGGGTAGGGTTCTTAGTCCCAACACCAACATTTTGGAATTCCCATACATGTATTAATTACATCTTTCAAAAACTCATGAGTTTCCTATCATTTGTCTGATTTCAATCAAACTTTTCCCAATCTGCTATTCTGATTTTTCTGCTTTCTTTCATCAGAGCAATGTAATACTTAATATTGATTTTTTTTAAAGGACCGATGAACTCACACTGCATGCACTCTCGCCCTCTTGACCGACCAAAATGAAGAGCTGGTCACCTGCAGTCAAATTAAAGATGGCGTCTACCTTGGCTGCCTTGCTTGGCCCAGAGTTCTCCACTCCGGCCCCTCCGCTAGCACCATAGGCAGTTACACTGTAGTTTCAGAATTGATCAATGTTTTAAAAAAACAGAATTGATAACGAAAAATTATTGAATGGTAAACAGCATTAAAAAATATATCACAGGACAATACAATGGCATTAGCGTTGTGTGCCTTACGTATACGTTTATTTTTTAACACATACCGGTAAGCAAGTATGCTCAAAGCTTGTGAATTTTTCTCAACCCCATTTGCCATTTATTCATACCGGTACCTAAAATAGCATATATTTTGTTGTGGCAATTTACTAGGTCATGTGTGAACAATGTTTGGGGATGGAAAATGGCATTAATACACTTTGTTTTAATACAGAACGAAAATTACAGTTTTAATCCCAGATCCAAATTTATAAACAGTAAGACAAAAGATCATTTTACAATGATATATATGTTACTTTTTTAAATAAAATGTGACCAAAACAAATTTCCATGTATTCTTGTGAATTTGGATGAATAAAAGAATTGAATTGAATTGGATTGAATTGAAAAGCACTGAATTAAAATACAGAGTAAGGTCTTCTCCCTCTCTTTCTCCCCCTCTCTTTCTTTCTCTCTCTCTCTCTCTCTCTCTTTCTCTCTCTCTCTCTCTTTCTCTCTAACACACATACACACACACACCCACACACACTCTATTCCTCATCAGAATCAACTGTTCAGAAAATAATAAAGTCAAAGGATAAACAATAAACGATGGACATTATGCTAAAACTATCATTCGCCCAAATAACTGAAAATTCAATGTATGTACACACTGCTATCTTGGACAGCTAGGAAATCATTTCCATACATCTTAATTTTTGTGGTTAACAAATTACACAAGTGCTCCAAATATAATCTAGGACTACATAACAGTAATCCCTTTCAAAAAATCACCTGTAGAGCCTCGTCTCTGGTGCCGTCCAGACTTGCACCCCTGCCAATGAAATGGAATCTTCATGATTAAGCACCCTGACTGTCAGGTTAGTGTAGCGGTAGGCTGCAGTACATCTGGCTTGGGTTGGTCCATAAGGTCCATGGGTGCCACAGGTTGTGAAGGTGAAGTTAACGGTTGGAATGGGCTCCTTTTTAACAGTGGTCGTGGCAGTGGTTGTTGCTCCGTTGGTTGGATCTAGGATCAAATTTCAGATTTTCTTACAAGATGAAGTTGCCAAATTGCAGTTACATGTACATTGTATGTTATCACACCGTAATGTAAATTGCATTAACATGAATAAAAGATACGCTTAATTACTCCAACATGTATAAAAAATGAGGTTTACTCCAAGTAGCAAAAAAAAATTGTTTGCATAAAACATGCCTGTATTTGTTGTATATCTTGTTACACAATTAATCTCCATCTATTTATGATATTAATCATAGTGTTGAAAATGGTAGGGAATTCATAACGGAGAGTGAGAGGGGGACGAGTGCAAGGGCACAGTTAAAGTTACATTTTTTTTTTTTTTTTTAAAGATTCATACAATGAGTTATTCAAACTATTAAAAACCTGAGTCTACTTCTATGTTTAATACAATAATATTCTTTACCATCATCAGGTACATCACGAATGATAAATAAATAGAGTTTCACATGAGAATAGATAGAAAGGAACTTTAACAGTAATTACTCTTCTACATACCTGTCATAACTGTGCTGGGGGTGGGGTATGATGTCATGTTGGTAGTCCTCGGCCCTGAAGACCATGGGTTGGTGTACCCTGCCGTTGACCCTACAGAAGTGTTGTTTTTCTCAAAGCATTCTGGGCTGAGCGAGATATCATCAACGGCAACATCCCCCTTCCAGCCTCTACCTCTTGTCGCTTCAATTTGTATAAAGTATCTGGTCAAAATTGATATTAAAGTTTTAAAAATTCAGAATATAAAGGTGATATTGATTTATTAAAAAAATTAATACAAAATATATATAAGATTAAAGCATAAATATATCTATATGATCGATCTTCATACGATCATAGAATATTCAATACATATAAATTACATATGGAACTCTAACAAAAAATAAATGTTATCTTGGCTTAAAACAAAGTGAAATCTTAATTTAGGATTTGAGTTCTATTCGGGGAGTTGTGTTTGATAATAATTTTGTGCAATAACTGGGACCAGTACTCTACAATGATAAGTTTAGTTGAGTTTCATTTCCATCAAAGAAATAGCATTTCACTTGTATTGGGGTATGCAGAGATGTACCATTGAGGTGAATTTTACAGCAATGACTTTGAGACATGTGACGCACTTTCACGAGGAAAAAACCTCCAGACATGGATCGTCTCTAATCACAAAGCTAGAAAACTAAAACCATACTGTGGCAAATTTAGTTTCACCCTTTAATAGAATTTGAGACACTCAGATAATTGCAAAACATATCCCACCTGTCTGTAATAACATCAGGCATTGGCTGAACAGTCTCTACCCATCTATCGATGTTCCTATTATACTCGCTAAAGAGTTGACTTGAAATTTCTGGATTTTCTGCAGAGATGGCAAAGATTTTAAGCGTGCTGGGCTCCGTACCATACATGTGGTACGCAAAGCGAAACTGGGAAAAACAGAAAATAGCATATAAGACATATATACATGTAGTATCAATAAATGTATCTAAATAAACTTACTTAATACGAACTGTTAAAATTCAGAGGAAAAAGAAAGTGAAATATAACTATAAATTCTGTAAATATTTCGTGAATGCAATTAACACAAAACAAATACATTATTGGTGTGCCTGACTGAGGACTTTTCAACAGATGTTCAAGGTACAATACATGACTTAGATCTAGTGAGAATTCATAATAGACAAAAATGGAAGATAATGGGTACACTAAAAGTGAAATATATTTGCCTAAACCAAATAAATGGTATCATTTATAATATGGGTTTGGTGTTACATCCATCTAAAGTGCTACACTGCAAAATAACACAGAACAATCAATTGACTTAATTCTCCAATAAGTTAAATTTGTCAAAAGTTATGGTCACTTATATCTATTTCTGTTTTCCAAAGGGACAAAAAAGGAGAACAGCAGAGAGAGAGAGAAAAAGAGAAAGAGTAAAGAAACAAATATCTCTTGTATAATAAAAGCATTTTTATTTGCTCGATTCTTTCCACTGTTTTTAAGCAACTTCAAACAAGCAGACTTATTTGTTCAAGCATCTTAAAATGGATTTCCTGAACAACTTAATCACTTCATAATTGTACCTTCCACGGAATATTACCTTGCATGCCTTGTACATGGGATTGGTCCTATTTCTGGTAGTAGCGGGCGGAGCTTCAAACACCGGGCTCCTCATGTACGCCTCATCACCTGTACCAATTCCCGATGTCTCGTAATAAAAGTAGTAACCTGCAATACATGGAGGTAAATGTAAGAATATCTAGGGCTCCTCCAATAATCAATTAAGTCAATGTGATACTTAGAGGTGTACAATGTTTGAGGGTTGGAGCAAGGTACTACATTGCTCTATGAAATGACAGGTTCAAACCAAATTAGAGCTCATATGCCCCTCAACAGATATCGATCACCAAAAAAGTATTTTGTACTTTGTGTGTTCAAAACATGAGCTGTAATACTTCTGCAAAGAGATTTACTGCACGTTCACATACACTCTCAATACACATCAAATATTTTTGTAAGAAGACTCGTCCATGCAAGTTTGAAAAGGATGTTATAGGACAGATGTGGAACCCAAGTTTTGCCTGGCGACGGTGAGCAAGATTTAATATTATCTTTATTTTCTTGGTACTCCTTTACTGCAAACCCATAGAATGTCAGGTAAATTAAGTTATTTGCAGTTAATTTTACATATTCTAGCTGTACACAACTTTTTAAAGTGTAATATTAACCCTTTAAGTTTAATCCTTAATTCCCTAATCCCAAATAGAACCTAGAGATAGATAAATATCAGCCTCCTAGATGAACAACCACACACTTGTCTCATTGCTATCAAAAGCAAAATCCACCATCGTGCAATGGTTTCATTAATGTACCGGTACATCATAAAGTATACACTGAGTTTCAAATGACATGAAATATTGAAAATATAATCAGTAGAAACGTAGTCTCAGCAGAACAACCGTCAATATCAGAGACTGAAGCTTTTGATCCAGGCCAGTCTAAATTTACCCTAGATCTATCATCAATATCATATTTGTAGATTAAATCTACATCAACATCTAAATCAAAATCTTAAGCTATTCATTAAATAGGTGAATTGATCATCATTACTTTTACTCAATACCTAATATTAAAAAGTCTTTGAAATGTTTGAGTGACTGTATAACCATCGGCTTGTTGATAATCTGATCATATACCTTCTTCAGTTCCCAAAGTATGGTCCACACTGGGTCCTGTTCCTGTAGACTTGGTTGATCCATGATGCCTGGTCCAATTCTGATGGTCTTGGCCCACAATGTTGTACCATCCACAGAGTCCTGACTCAAAGTCACACTTGGCCCCATACGGAATGTGACCTGAAGGACAAACAACATTAAGGGTGGTACATTTTGAGATTTATATTTCTTTCAGATCGTAACAGTATCCCGTTTTAAATAAGTGATTTAGTCAACTGACAAGACTATAATATATATTCAGATATTTATGATTGAAAATCGAAACCAAATTTTGCGTTTTCCTAATGGTTTTCATAACACTACGGTCTATTAGGGAACACAAGTATGGTAAAACCGGTCACTCAAAGATTTTTACTTTTTTGAGGCACTTCTTGATCATTTTGAAGCGCAATTTTTTTAGGGCTTCAATATTACACCATCACAGACACTAATAACACGAAGGGCCGTGCATCTCAGACTCAACATTGTTAAACGATGCCTTTAAAGGTACTATGTCCTTTTTGCAGCCAACCTCAAATTCTGTAGAACTTTGCAGGAATTATAAATATGTCATGTATGTCCTATCTGTGAAATTTAAACGTTAGCAGTGTCCTAATATTCAAATTATGCAAGGAAACCCATTTAGTTGCTAGACTTCACTGTCAGACACTATTGAGTGACTGATTGGCTTTTTTTCTTCTCAGGTAATAACATACATAAAAAGAGCTGTAAAGGGTACATGAGCATTTGTCTACATCAATAACCCACTTCTTGTGATGGCCACAATTAAACTGATTGAATCTTTGCGCAGCATAAAACGTATGACCATTCAGAAAAATGGTCTGAAAATCAAGACTATTACTTATTGGCTATATATCTCCCAAGTCAATTTCACAACTAGTAGTCGTTATTTTCCCACTTGAAGACTTTTTCAAGCCCCACTTTCTTTAGGGAAGTTCTAAATTAGTATTATCCTTCAAATGCCGTTGGAATTTAACATTTTCATTTTTTGGGCCTGCAAATGGGACATATAGTCAACTGACAGACTATAATGTATATTCAGTTAGAGGGCGCACTCATGCTTTTTAATAAACACTTTCCCCACATGTTAAAACACTCTTCTGTTCGAGTCAAGAATAACACTTAAACAAACCCAATAATGTAACATGGTGGCAGTGGTGGGATATGTAACACGGATAATGTATGAAATTTTACAAATTGCAGTTGAGTTCATGTACTTGCAATTTGAAAGAAACTGTTTGGAAGCAATTAGAAATTAAGTTTGACCATGTAGCGGATAAGTATTGGAGTATACTGTGAGGTTTTGGAATCATCAAAATTATATAAGACTGGCCTAGTCTTGCTATAAAAAAAAAGACTCAAACAAACAAACAAACAAAAACACTATTCTGCAAGTCTCTAGGGCAAAAGGCTGTGACAGGTTATACTTGTACAATTTTCACTACCGGTATGTGTCGTGAAAGCTAGCGCAAGCATGCTTTTGCTGGGAATTATTCTTTTAAAAAAAATTGTTGGACTTCAGTGGTTTTAGTACATCGTCGTAAGTTTCATGCAAGAATGAAGCTACAACTCAAAATTAAATTTGATAACCCTATATCATTTCATTTGTAAAAAATAAGTAGGTATAGGCCTACTCAGACCGTTTTTGTTTATTCTGATCACACAAAGAACTTGTCCAAAAATACTGTGTATACCATATGCATGCAGAGATGGATTAAATTTTAAATTAAATTTTATATTTTGAAACAATAAGAGGCACTTAAGCAATAAAGCTGTGTGTATCAAACAAACAAAATGCCAATTAAGGCACATAAAGGGTATGGATATTGAGATATATTATAAGATAAAAGATAAAAGAGTCCTCTCATATCAAGTGTTAAAATAATTCAGTGAATGAATTTTAAATAATCTATCTCTGGAAATCAATATAAAGCGCCAATTAACTGGCATTTCTTACCACAAATTGTATTATGCTCATCCTCTCCAAAAAGACAGTCCGGTCGAAGATCACAAAGGTTCTCTTTGGGGATACATTCCAAGTTGGTACATTCAAAGTAGCTATTCGGTGAGCAAGAGGGAGCTACATGATCTGTTGCAAGTAGATTCAGAAAATGAATTAGAAGTTAACCATTTTCTGTAAGCATAACATACAGCAAAAGCTAGGTAATATGGATTTGCTAGAACATCATTAGATATGCATGTACAATCAAAATGGTAATCATCATGATTATCATTTTTTCATAAATCACAAATAACTGATTAACGTGCTTTCAAGTCATTAGATTAAAATAGACCTGTTTAGGCATACTTCATGCATACTTACAAAAATTCTTAACGAATTATCCTCAAATTGCAACTCCTAGAAAAAATGCTTATTAATTTGCTAATGGGGCTTTCACATATACACTCCGGGGCATTTTGGGAATTTTGGGAATTTTCGGCCGGTGTCCGGCCGGCTACCGTAAAGATCCTACGGGCGCCGGGACAGTTTTTGAAGCCGTACGGGCGCCGTGGTGCTGAGTCGGCTGCTCCCAATTCTCCCGGCGTTTTTATCCGACCATTAGGTCGTAGAGAGCCTGTGAAGGGCACCTTACGGGTCCCGGCGGGCTCCGGACGGTGTCCGGACGGGCCCCTCACGATTTTTGGGGGTCAATTCTCATGAAAAATCTTAACGGGAACCTTGAGGTGCGGATTTCAGAGGACACATAGTTCAGTGCACCGCACGGGACCCGGCCGGGCACCTTGAGGACCCCGGCCGGGTCCCGGCAGGGCACCTTCCGGGAGCCACGGGTGCACCTGCTCATCGGACGGAGCACGTAAGCTTACCGGCCGGCATCCTTACGGGCGCCTTGCATTTCACTCGACCAATTTTCACCGGGCACCTCCCGGGCGCCGCAGAATATGTGACCACACATGCCGTAGAAAAGGAAATCGGAAGGTTCCCGTACGGTCTCTAAATCCACGGCATGCCGCCGGGTAGGGAAAATCGTACGGGGCCCGGTTTATATGTGACCTAGGCATAAGGAACATTTGGAAAATGTGTCTAATTGATCATCCAGTAGAAAAGAATGGAAAATATTCATATACACAATTGACTATTTTTTAAATATTTTTAGCAGATGTTTCTGCATTTATTGATAAATCAAATATAAAACATTCAAATAACAATAATAGTATATAATATAATTCATTTACATAAAGAGTGACAACTTGAATACACACAAATAAAAATGCATAATTGAAAGCTTGAAAATATGGAGGTAAGTAAAAAATAATCAAGATAAATGCAGAGGCCAACTATCATAAGCAAGAATGCTTAAGTCGATAGCAGCCGGAAAGGGGGAACATGGTGCTGTCATAGGTGTATGTAGGGGAATAAAGCGTCACGTATAAAGATTTTGTTTAGGAAGTATCTGAATAAAAAGTGGAAAGAAATTAAAGAAAAGAAATTGCATGTGTGTGCAGGTGAAGTAAGTGTTCGATTTGTAATGAACTGGTCATCTAAAATCAATACTTTATGAAAGTGGACAAAACTGTAATGTCCGTAACGCCACAATAATGTTTTTGGAGGGCACATGTAGCATCTGTTTCACAAAATTGAACTTCATTCTAATTTTACATTCCCTTTAAGTTTTGTTGAATTCTGTGGGAACTTATTTTCTATATTTATCAGAACTCAAGAGTATCTTCAACCAAAGAGCAAGGATAATTGGCACATGAATCATTTGATACAAGTGCAACAATATACCGGTAAGTACATGTGTAGCGAAGTTCGGTATTAGTTATTTTTTCTTACCAAATCTAGATATCATCTCAAACCCTATGTAACAGATGATCCAATATACTCAGACAGTAACCTAAACATTCCAATAACAAGGGCTGTCCACTTTCATAATGCCAGCCGCAACAAAAATGCTAAGCGGAAAAAGAACTTGTAATGTGCGGAAGAAAAGAGCATCAGGTCTCTAATGAAGTGATGGATTACACCGAGACGAGTGGGGGAAGAGATAAATGGATATTTATCAGGCGTTCGCTTGCATCATAACACCCCCTCACAGAACCATAGTTATTTATGTAGAGGGTAATAAGTAGAGATGAGAAAGCTTTCAGGATAGAAAGAGATCTATCTAGATAATCTGTTCAGTGGTTGGAGAATCTCTTTGTATGAATTTATTTCTTTCATTACCTTTAATACTCATAACCTTTTTATTAAAGACATGAATATCACTGAAAATACAAAGTCTTATTTGATAACAATATTTCTGATAACATATGGGATGCTAAATATAGGAAGAAATAGGTGGGAACGGTTGGTAAATAATTATAAAATATGATACAAAAGGGTCTTATCATAATTCTTGTTGTAGTTCAGGGTTGATATTATAACATAAGAATTCTCAACACCTCAAAACAAAAAGGCATTTGCTAAAAAAATCAATATCAATTAACCTTATCATGACAATGCAAAGACTATCTTTTTCATATTAATCTTTAAATTCATCTGTTGGCCTTTTGCTAATATTTCACTACAGACTGTGACCAGGCTGTCACTCCTTTCTATTCAATATGTATATTAATAATTTAAATATATATTGCTTTGGAAGTAAACAACTGACAGCAACAACAAAAATTAAAAAACAGAAATCTGAACGTGTAAGTAATGACTAATCTAATTATCTCTCTCATGCATACTTGATCTAATGGCACCAATATTCCATTTGTATCTTAATACATTACGGTATATTGTTTTTTAGAGTACATAGCATACAAGAAAATTGTCATATGAATATGTATCTTTTTGTATGAAAATATTCTGCCTTTCTCTTCTCTTTCTTTCATTCATTATCTTTGAAGTAAATGAATAAACTCTTTACACTTTATATCATACTCAGAAACATGGGATTGTGCTCAAATTCAATAAAAGCATTGAGGGAATTTGGGTAAATTTTAATACATATGGTTAAATGATTGACTAACAAGTTCTAAAATTCACAGAATCATTGTAAAAGTGACTCGGTAACATTGCCTCAGATTCTGAAACAAAATCATGGATTTTGCTCATGCTGCAATCAAATTATAAACCTTAGGTCAGTCAGGAATCCCATGACTTTTACAAAGCAATCGCCTGTCTGATTATCAAGATATCTATGATTGGAATTAGAAATTGCAAAATTTGTTTTCCTAACGTTTTTTATAACACTACAGTCATTTGGGGAAAATGATAACGGTAGAACCGGTCACTCAAAGATTTTTTTACTTTTTTGAGGCACTTCATGATCATTTTGAAACACAATTTTTTTAGGGCTTCAATATTACACCAAATCACAGACACTGATAACACGTAGGGCCACGCATCTCAGATTTAACATTGTTAAACGATGCCTTAAAGACAAACATCGCTCATCCATGGATCCTAACGGATGACAAGTGATGAAATGGAGTGATGAGTATCAGCCTTCATGCTCCTTTACACTATGTACATTCACATTAGGTAGGCGGGTGGGTGCCTAGCAAGGAAGCTCTTAATGGAGAACCTTATTGATTATTAACGACTTAGTACCTTTTTTCTCTGACTTTCACCTTCTCCTCATATCAGTTCATTAATCATTTATTGTCTTCTTATATTTGGTTCCTAAACTTGTTATTCAAAATAGAAAGCATTTACCGTAGTTTATTTTGTAGTAAATAATTTTTTGATTCTGATGTATTTCATTTTAATAATATTTTACATGGTCAATTCACATCAAAACATTAGTTTAGAAGATGTCTTTGTTAAAAAAAGATGAGCGGAATTTCACTGAATGGCGTGATACTCACAGGTATATCATGCCCTTTTGAATCTCCACAGACAAAATGCTCTAAGAGCTCACTAAATTTCTTTATTCTCCTGATAAGAGATAGCACTCTTGACAACAGCTTAGCATGTTTGCATGGCCCATCTAATATATCATCTGCTGAGAGCCAGCAGAGATTCGACTCACTAGGTATGTCCTCATCAGCTCGAGATTGCCAAATAGCCTGCAATTTCTGATTTGGGAAATAAGCCTGAAGTTACAAATCACGTCTTCATCAGCTCGAGCTTGAGAAATTAGCTCGAGATATTTTGCTCAGTGTTTGCGCATAGTGTGAGTCTTCGGGCTGGTGAAGATGCACCGAACAAATAGCAGGATATTTTGCCAAGTAGCCCAAGATATCTTGGGATGATTATCTCGACCAAATATTCCGCTAACTGCAACTGCAGGCTGATGAAGAGGCAAATTAGCTGGATAATTTGCGATCGGGATAGTAAAAATAGCGGGTTATTTGGCAATCTCGAGCTGATGAGGACATACCTATTCACAGGCATTAACATAAGAGTTTCATAGGTCCTTTCTGGATCTCAACAGGCAACATAATGGATTGTACTAAAACCATTTTAAGAACATGAATATAATGCTCTCATCTTTCCACTTAATTCAACCTGAATTGGTTCTAATGGGGCTATTGTCAGATGATATTGAAAAGTTATCAATCACGGTTCTAAATGACTGAAAAACAAAGCAAAAAGGGTCATAAAATACTCTACCTTCTGTGCATGGTGTTGCATGGTTTAGTAATCATTTTTGATTTGTTGAAAAGATAGTTTGCTTATCTGTTTTTGATGTTTTGTGGAATATATGAATTGTCCATTTTTATATTACATTTATGTACCGGTAATGTCCCTTCTATGCCCCTCACCCCCTCACTATCTATCAATCTCTCTCTCTCTCTCTCTCTTTCTCTCTCTCTCTCTCTATCTGAATATAACTGTATCTACATCCCACTTTCCCTCTTTTTCACAATCTCTCTCTCTCTCTCTCTCTCTCTCTTTACCTCTCTCTCTCACTTTCATTCTCTATCTTTCCTTCCCTACCTCTCTCCTTCTTGCCCTCTCTTCCTATCCCTTTTCCTTTCCATGTTTATCTCTTCCAACATTTTCTTGTTATCTATCCTTATTTTTGTTATACACCCTCCTTACTTTATTTTGATGTATATCTCCCTATGAAACTTTTCTTATTTGCAACCTTCTCTCTCCCTGTCTCTCTCACATTTTCTCTCCCTTTCTCTTACTTTCTCATTTTCTCTCTTGCTCTCCCTCTAGATTTATCTATCTGGCTCTTTCTCTCAATATCTTCCTCGTTTGTAAACAAAGAATAAGTAGGCTGCACCCCACTGCTATCTACACTCTCATTCTACATCTATCTTAGCTTCCTCATCCATCTCAACAACATCTTCTTCTCTTTTCCCTTTCTTCTTTATCCAATCCAATCAAATCCAAAATGTATTTGCAATAGTGCCTTTTCCTTGCAGTTTTATCACAAAACTTGACTTCTCCCGTTCCAGGTCAATGTCTCCTCTTTTCTCATTCTCCCCCATCCTTCCCTCAATCATCACCGATTTCAATCCAAAGTGCATCATCTTAACCAAACAAAAATCCTGTGCTCCATTTCTATAAAGGTCACATTTCCTGGCAACCTATAAATCTGCTCAGAATTGCTCATTCAAGCCTTAATGTCCAACAGGCTTAGAAAGAAATCTCTTGCAACATATATGTACATAACATTTGCTTGGAGACAGAAGGGCATTAATAGCTCATAGATCTCAAAGTAGTCACCCAAAGAATCAAAAGTGCTTTGAATTGATGCAAAATTCATATCGTTGTGACGGGGAAGCCTTACTGATCAGATATAACAACTTCCCTCTTCAAAATATGTTTGGGGCCTGCAGTAATCATCTCTCAAAAATGTTTATTTTGAGATCCAGATTTTCTGCTTTCAGCGGTCCTCCAAAGAGCGTCAAGATTAATGACGTCACATGCAAGACACAGCTAGCCACAAAGCATTCTACACCTTTCCATGATATCTATAAGATTTTTCAGGAAATTATTCATGTTTTTCTAGAGAAAATCTTTCCATCCATATAATTTGTCCATAATTATCAATTGTCTTGAATTTTCTTCGGTGACTACTTTAACACAGAGATAATGCCCTTCCATCCCTGGACCGATGAATCATCCCACAGTGAAGAAAACTTAATCAAATTCATATTAGGCATGGGCAGGCCGACTAGAGAGTGGTTATCATCCCTTTTGTGGGTTAGAACCAGAGTTTTCAAACGTGTTTCAGGCAAATTTGCATGGTGATAAATGCAAGCCTGTTTTCAAACGTCTTTAGATATGGGTATATTGAAACGCCCAAAAAAGTGTGTTTTGAATGTGAGAATGAGCCAGAATCATGTTTCTGAGAGATGATAAACGCAAAGCTGTTTTAAAACAAACATACATATCAAATCGTCCCAGATATTTAATACACTCAATACATTTAATACACCTGGGTGAAGAGTGGCATATACAGATAAATATCTTGTAAAAGGACTCAAATTGCTAAAAATGTTATTCCCAGTCCAGCGACATATCTACTAGACCAGGGGGGTGTTTCACAAAGGTCCTAAGCCAACCTAAACTCTAAGTTGGACTTAAATATTATGGAGAGCCATTTGTAGCTTTAAAATAAAATATATTCAAAAGCAAAAATTGAAATATTTTAGACTTTTCATAAATTCCACATCAAGAACATGAAATCTCCTTGATAACAGAAAATATGAATGATTCGAATCAACATTTTATGCCTTTTAAAATAACTTTACACAATATTTTCATAGATACTAATAGCTTTCCATAACTGTTAAGTCCAACTTAATGATAAGTTCAACTTAGGATCTTTGTGAAACATCCCCCTGGTCACCTCTACTATCAACTGACCTGGTGAGCAGTCTAGAAGCTGTATATTATCCAGAGCAATATCTCCTTCACTTCCCCCTGTCATGGTAGCCTCAAACACAATCTGGAATGGCAAGGGCATTGACCTTAACAGTATGACTTCATCTATCCACCTAAATGAAAGAAGTGTAGTTGAAAAGATTAAAAAGCATATTGCATATTTTAATAAATTTCTCTCTTTTTTTCTTCTCCATATCTAATGCAGTTTTTAACAAAATTATTGGGCATACATGATTTAATTGTGATCTTGATAATGATAATACAGTCAAACCTGCTTTAGTGACCACCTTTCTTTAAAGACAACCTGTCTACAAGGACCACATTTTTTGTTTCCCTTGAAAATGGTTTCTCATTAAAAAATGTACTAAGGGAACCTGTCTACAAAGGCCACCTGTCTATAAAGGCCACTTTTTGTGTTTCCCTTGGGCGGTCGCTATAGACAGGTTTGACTGTAATAGCTACATTTATATTGTACACGTGTCCATCCCAGAGGATGCTCAAGTTACCTACAAAGTACTATTGTTTATACCCTGGCTATAACCCAGCAGCTCTGAGGCGCTAAAAGCATTTAAGAAATAAATTCCTACCAGATACCCATTCACCTCACCTGGGTGGAGAGTGGCAAATGTAGATTAATGTCTTGCCAAAGGACATAGGTGCGGTGTCAGGACACTAATGGCGAACAATGTGACTCCCAGCACTGTGGCGTATCCACTAGACCACAACTTTATAATAATAATTTGTTAAAGTCCACTCCAAATTTTATTAAGTTAAACCGAAAATGAAAATTCTTTTTGCCCAATTGATCGTGAGCCCGGCAGCCACTGAGCAGCGCCAGATCGACGTTGCTCTATCCCCTATTGTTGAACGCCAAACAAGGTAGCAGCGACTCCCGTCTTTTAACGTCTTTTGGTATGACGTGGCCGGGGTTCGAACCCACGACCTTCCGGTTGTGAGGCAGACGCTCTACTGACTGAGCCAACACACCGGTAAAATACACCATTTTATCAATAATAAAAAAGACTGCACTATAGAGTACTAACATTAAATAATGTTGAATATTGATTATCGTTCAATTCCGTTTATCTCATGGAAGGTATGAGCTTTGAACAAAGGCCAAGGCTGGAGCTTGCATGTCAGCAGATAGTTACCTGCCATCATCTCTTATCCTTTAACAATCCTCAAAGCTAATCATCCAAATTAAACAAAGTGGCATACCTTGCTGCTTGGCTGCCCAAGCGTTGCCAGATGGGATATCTCTGGTTGTCCATGGCAACCGACAATGTAAGTGTCCCGGTGTCAGTTCCGCTCATGTAGTAGAAGAAGTTGATGCTGCAGAGAGCACCACTCTCTTGGTAAGTGAGGCTCTCCAGTTCAGCCATTGCCCTATCCAACTTTCCTTGAGAACTGACATAGGTGTAGTTCCCTATGGCTATAAAAACAAATATAAAAAGAAAAAGAAACATTATTCTATAAAATAGGCAAACACTGTCTAAAGAAAACATGGTAATCATCATATGATTCAGAAATAGCATTTCACATTTTGAGAGTGCACAAATTCATTTGATTTTGAGATTGCTTAGATCTAATATATTTGACATGAATCAATTTCTATATTTCCAGATCTTTTGCATATTCAACGAGCTATGACATTTGACCCTTGATCTACATACTCCAAAAACAAACGTAAGCTGTGTTTTGAAACCATGTAACTTCATATCAAATTTCATTAAAATCAGTCAAACATTAATAATGTTATTGAATGGAAACCAGATTTGTTACGTACGGAAGGACGGACGGCAGTGTTACCCTGGCCGACTTCGTCGGGGAGGGGATAAGAAAAATTATGTAGTATGAAATTCTATTCAGTGTTCATGTTTAATTTGGGGTATGCAGTATATATTTCTACTCTCTAAAGAAGACTCTAAAGATAACTTCTGAACAAGTGCTCAAAACATGCCAAATGCGCGACTCTTTTTCAGGAGTTCATACAATACTGGATTAAGATGCTTTTAAGATATGAACCTTTAAAAGAGTTGACAGTTCAAAAGGATGATTTTAAAAACCTTGAGAATTCTGGACTTGTTCAAAAGAGTGCTTATCAACACTTTAAACAGGGCTGTTTCTACAAAAAGATGTTTATTGACACCTTTAAAAGTAGTTGCTGGTTCAGCAAGGTGCTTACCAACACCTTAAGCCAATTGCTGTTTCAAAAAGGTGCTATCAAAACCTTTCAATGGAGCTGATCTTTCAAAAAACCGTGCTTGTATCAACACCTTAAAACACATTCAAATTTCAAAATAAGAATAATAAAAATCAAGAGTCTAAATTACATTTTGATGTGCTTTACATACCGGTATAAAGAACTAAATTAATAATTCTCCTTACCAATAGAGTCTTATGAAAAGTCAACAATTTTCCATTTTGTATCAAATTACCTTGAGCATTCATCCATCATAATCTGATAAATATATAGATGATTGTCGCAACCGATCTGTAGATAACGTAATTGCTTATCTTTAATTCATCACTTTGAGATTAGCTCCCTCATCTGTGGGACTTAATCATTGATAAAGATCCGTCACCAGGGTATCAAAGAAAATGTCACGGTTGACACGCTTCCGACAAATTGCTGCACAATGGACAAATTGGTCTAGCATGAAATGCTTTTATGGTTAACATGGTCTTTCCAATTCATTATAAATGCTGACATTCTGTAAAAGAAAATGAAAGGTCCTAGGTTTGGCATATGTTTGTTTATCATGAAAGTATATTGGTCACATCCAAAGTAGATTAGTGTTCACAGTCAAAATAAGGATTGGGGGTTTGTTCGTTTGCTTTCATGTTAAAGCTCGTCTGCACTAGTTTGGCCAGGGGGATTAGACCTCCCTGCAAGGTCACTGACAGGTGGTTATCTCATCAAATCAGCTCTCGAACATAAGAAAAAGAGGATCAAGGGGGACCAACAGGCACCGATTAGGCATTGTTTGCTAGGTATGTAGAGGGCACAAGAAGCTATACCCAATAAGTAGTGCAGTGGGGCTTTAAGTCAAATTATCGACATATTTTTTACCTTTCTCAAAATCAGTTAAAGGCAAGTTATTATTTACCCTTCCTTTTACCATAAGTGGGAATTCTGCCAAGAAATTCTGTCCATAAATTTGGCTGAAGTAGAAAAATTCTTCCAGAGAAATAATGTTAGTCTTCACATTTAGCTTTAAAAAGGTGCTCTTTCTTCCTGAAACCACAATAGGTACATTTATATATCCACAATGCAGTTAAGTTTCAATGAAAAGTGATATAATATACCAATCTAGCATGAAACAAAGGCTCACAAGTCCAAAATGTTACTCTTGAAAGGCCTTAGAATCGCTGGCCGGCACAAAAGAGTTTTAACATTTCCAGCATACTTTAAATACTTGCCCTTTAAAAGTCACTATCATCATTATCAATGTTAATATCTTGGTTTATGCATGGTTTATTCCCATTAGATATTGGCATTTTGGAAGCACCTTTACCTTTGGTACCTTACATTAAAATATATTTACACCTTTCTGGTTCTGCATGTTTTTTATTCACCACAATGAGTTAATGGCCCTCTTCATCTCATGCACATGATAATATCCATGGATGCCTCGTCTTTACTTCAAGTAATTAGAGTTAAGGGCCAGTAGGTAAATGTACATGTATTCATATTCTATTCAGCATGCTTGCGTGGTTATCATTAAATTCTGTTTTTATATGTATGAAGGTATTATTATGCTCATGGAGGCAGTTTTTATGGCAAAAAGTATATATTTTCTCTCCCTTTGGCCATCTATTTCTTTTTTTGATCCTCTTTATACCCCTAAGTCCATCTCTCTACTCTCCTACTCTCTCTCTCTCTCTCTCTGTACCTCTCAAAAGTTTACTACGTACAATACACCCTGCTATTTTTCCAGTGCAGTCCCTTCCTGTCTGTTAAAAGACAGAAGGACATTTATCCGTTTGAACAAAAATAAGAGTTAAAGCCCTCCTGGCTTTAAAACAGAAGATATTTATTCTCATGATAACTGATTGTATTAGGGTATTCTAATTTCAGGAGGAAAATTAGGGGTAGTGGAAGCAATAGTAAATGTGGAAATATTTTCATTATATCAGATGCATACCACAATGAAAATAGTATAGGAAAAAAACAACTTTCTAACACACTAGGCCTGTCTTCATCAGCTTGAGATTGCCACATAACCCGCTATCTTAACTATCCCGATCACAAATTAACCAGCTAATTTGCATCTTCATCAGCCCGCAGTTGCAATTAGCAGATATTTGGTTGAGATAATCATCCCAAGATATCTTGGGCTAGTTTGCAAAATATCCTGCTATTTGTCTGTCGCGTCTTCATCAGCCCGAAGACACGCACTGTACGCGTACGCTGAGCAAAATATCTCGAGCTAATTTCTCAAGCTCGATTTTTGAGTTTCGAGGTTGAATCTCGAGCTGATGAGGAAATACCTCATGAAAAGAGATAAAAAAAGATATAAACTCTTACCTTCTCCGCTCGGATCATAACCTCCAGGGGGTCCTGTGTAAGGGTTGGTCGACGCCCCCTCTCGTACCTCCCATCCTGGAGTGAACATGTCAATAGGAGGACTCAGCCAATCACAGGGGCTCTCAAAGTCACATGACAGGCCTACAATACAAAAGAAAGAGGAGCAGTTAGCATTTCTCAAATGTCTTAATTTGGAAGAAATAGAATTGAAAGCTATGGAAGATGGGGTATATACATCTATTATGTGATAGAAGTTACCTGTTCAGGGATACTGTTAATCTGTTACTAATCTCTGATCTTTTCCTATTTGAAACAATATTTATGAAGGAGTAATAAAATTGACAGACAGCATTAACTCCCTCATTCCGTTATTGGACGACATTGAAAATGATATTCAGTAAGAGACAAAATAACTCGGTTTATAACTAATTAATCCATGCAAATACTCAAATTTTCTCCCCATTCTAATAAAATAGTGTAGGTAAACCATTCTTTTTTCTTTTGCTTCGAACCATAATAATAAATATAATAATAATAAAAACGTTACTTATAAAGCGCTCACCACCAAAGTCTCTAAGCGCTAAGGACATAAGGACATCAACCTATATACTTTTCACAGTTGAAACCCTTGTGGCTCTCAGCGGACATTTTGAATTGGTCATCTAAAAATCTATTTTTAGAATTTCTCAATTTTTTCTTCATATTCCGAAAGAACATGAAAAATAATGTCCAAATGTCTAAAACCAATTGAATATGTTAAGTATTGGCTGAGATATGACCATCTGAATGAATATATGTCCTATGGGAACTCAGTGTTATATGCTCTGGCTCCTAACCATTAGGAGCCAGAGCATATAACACTGAGTTCCTATGGGGAGTATATTTATTCAGGTGGTCATATCTCAGCCAATACTTAACATATTCAATTGGTTTTCGATATTTGGACATTATTTTTGATGTTCTTTCCGAATATGAAGAAAAAATTGAGAAATTCTAAAAATAGATTTTTATGACGTCACAGCTTCGGTACTCTATAAGGATGTTCTTATTTAGAATAGTAGTACACAAATGTTTTCAATTTTCATGTGCCATGTGTGAATGATCCTGAGCAATTTTCATTTCGTTCACTTGAGAGTTTGACCACATCCAGGCTAGATCGATCTTAGACCGAAAATGTCTAAGTTCTTAGTCTTAGTTCGTTAGCCTCTTATTTGGGGAAGGGTTAATTGGCTCCTCTCTTTAGAGAATGATCTTCTGGATCGGTTGTCTGTTCACACTCACAGTTCGACCGATCTAGCCTAGTTCGATCTAGCCTGGATCGGTCTGAGAAGTGAGTGAGAACGGGGTCTTTGACTGTACTGACTGGGCACATTAAAGTCCAGAATCTCAAGCTGGATCAATTATGTCACTCATCTTTAAAGTTATCATAATTTGCATAACTCCCTACAAAATATTCATCATATTTCAACTACCACACCCACTCACTCTCACACCCTTTCCTACTCTCATACACTCAAACAGATGATCCTCATCTATAATTCTGTGAATCCAATTAATGGGTGTTGGGTTGAAAAATCGAAATAACAAAATCCACCTCTGGAGTGTGGTTTTTTAGAAACGTCCGGAGAAATGTTACCGATTTTGGCAGGGGTAAATGCCCGCTCTTGAAACATTGGTTAATGATTCATGTTTTTTGTCACATATAAAGCTCCTCGCTTCTGTGCGATTGTATGCAGAGCAGCGACAAGTCCCGCCTGAGCAAACTCTGACAGCTTTTTATGGGTTTTTCCAGTAGCCTAAATGGCAATCAATTTTTTTCTTCAGAAAGGTGTTTGGGCTGTGTAAATGGGCCCATAGAAAACCTTATTATCGATGAAGATGATAAATAACCACTCTGTATTTCCTTCTCTTCCCCATCTCTTTCACTCTTTGTCTCACCTCCCCCTCTCTCTCTCTCTCTCTCTCTCTTACTTTTTAAAATCTTTTGCTTCCTCACTTTCTACCCTTTCCTCACCTTTTCCTTTTCCTTTCCCCTTCTTTCTCTCCTTTAGTTTAGCCCCTCTCTATCCCTTTATTTATCTTTTAAAACTGTCAATCAGGGAGCCCCTGGACCCCTGCAAGAATTTCCTATGCATTGTATTCTTCTTCAGCTTCTTTTAACCTCTCCTTTTGTTTGAATCTCTCTTTCATTCTCTTTCTCCTACTCTATCCTTGTCCATTGACTCTTTCTCTTTCTCTTTCTCGATCCACAGCTCAAAAATAAAATTTTCTCTTTCTCTCTCTCTCCCATTGTACTTCTCTCTTTTTAACTTCCATCTAAAGTTCCTTTTTTAATTTAGGTGACTGTTCTTACCACAATATTCCTCATCTGTATTATGAAGGCACTCTTGTTTGAAGTTGCATACAGCAGCATGTGAAACACAACTTCCATCCAAACATTGAAGCTCTTGAGTTGGAGCGGGACACAAACCTGCAAATATAATGAAAGGAAAAGACATTGATCAATAATTGAAAAATTCATGTAAACTTTATGAAACAAGAAAATTAGAAAAAACAAGAGTTAGAAGCAAATTCATGTTTTGTATTTTGTTGTCTCCCTTTCTCAAAGTAAATTTGAGTTTAATAGAACTCATTACTTTAAAATAACATGAATTACATGAAAGGCTTATAGTGCTTCTTAGGATTTTGAACAATTCATGAAATATCATGTTTAGAATCACTATTTCACCCTTCCACACATTTTGCCCTATCTCTATCTCTTCTATTTGCTTGGTATTTTTCTTTCTCTTCTTTTGTTTTCTTTTGAAGAACAGAAAGAGGAATACATAGCAGAGCAATTAAATATCTTCCCTTAAAGGCCAAGTCCACTCTAAAAATAACTTACTTTCATTTAGAAGTGGAAAAATCAGACAAACCAATCAAAAAGAGTTTGAGCGAAATCGGATATCTAATAAGAAAGTTATGATTTTTTGAAAAAGTCTGTAAAACTAAGGAACAATGAAAATCACGAGACAAATTGGAAATTCACTCATGAGTCTATGACGTCATGTCCTCACTATCTACTAATTGTTTTCTTTATATTGATATATAAATGTCCTATTTCCCCTCTAAGAATCTTATTTCTTCACAACAGCATCCAGGTTAGATTGAAAGTAATTTGTTTTTGTGTGGATGCACTAATATAGAGTAATTTTTTCAGTTAAATCATGAAAAATGTGGCTTTTGATAAACTTTTCAGATAAAAATCAATAATTCTGAATATACATTATTCAGAAAAAAGTATCAATTCTTCATAGTTCATAAATATTTTGTGCAATGTCATGCACGCAATATGATACAAATCATAAAATCTGAGCAAAGGCATGCCATGGGGAAATCAAGTTTTGGGGGATAAAAAGATAAATTAATGGGATTAAACTATATAAAGCAATTGATAAATAGTGAGGACATGACGTCACAAAGTGATAACTAAATTGGCAATTTGTGTAGTTTTCTATAGTTTTACATACTTTTTCAAAAATTCATAACTTTCTTATCATTAAGTCATCCGATTTTGCTCAAACTTGTTTTGATTGGTTTGTCTGATTTTTCTGCTTCTACTGAAAGTAACTTATTTTTGGAGTGGACTTGTACTTTAAGAAAATGTTCAAACTTACATTCATGATTCAACCTAAATAGGCCTACAATTATTCATTTTATTGCAAATATGTTTTTATACAACCCCTGTATGAAAAAAGTCTATGCTGTAATCAATAACTAAGAAAATGAAAGTTTATGAAATTTCCAGCACAGAGCAAATTAGGGAGGAGCTTGCAAGATATGTCTCAGTGTTGCAAATTTGTTTAATTTCACTAGCTGATGACAACTTTCAAAGAATCATAAACTTTCCTATTATAATCTGATATTGCTCAAAGTACAATCAATTTGTTACTGGTACCGGTATTCTCATTTTTTCTGCTTTTATAAATATCAAGATAATTCCCTGTACGATCCTTGAACCCCGGCCCCCCCACTCAGAGGTCGGAATGACCGCATGCGTGTTGCCAAAATGTCCGGTAAAGGGGTACTTTTCGTGCGACAAAGTCCGGCCCGAGAATTGTAAAAAAAGGGGTGTATTTGACTTTTCACCTGGAGATTTCTTTAAAAAGGGGGTGTTTTTCTTTTTTTCTCTCATCTCTATGGACTCCTGAGAAATTATTCAGAATTTAGGGGGGTACATTGAGCATTTTTCCTGATTTAGGGGGGTCTCCAAGGCAGGAAAAGCCCGCGAAAAGCCCGCGAAAGGGGGGTTCGGAAAATGTTGGCAGTCCTCAGATAGGGGGTGCCTTCAAAAAGAGGGTACGAGCATATGCGTACCCTAAATAACATTGAGTGGGGGGGCCGGGCCTTGAACCCAGCCCTGTCTGGGGCACCCAGCCACCCAAGCTAATTACCCCTCCCCCAAAGAGCTACCCCTCTCCCAATGACCAACCCCAGGACCCAATGCTCATTTGCATACAGCCAGGCCATAAACTCAGCTGGCCCTTTGATCCTACACTATGAACAGGTAACATGCACATACACACACCACACACACAGCACACACCACACCGAGTATGCTGAAACAGGTGCGTGTTATATCTATGTGGGAACGCATACCACATAGGCATCTACACAACACACACACTGTACTAGAACGTGCACAGATTCAACAGCACTTTGCACAATAGCCAGAAGAACAGGATTTAGCTTGGTAAGTTGTGCTTTATTCCTGGACTAAATTTATTCCTCCGATTATAATTAAATCAGATTTATCTTTATGTCTGTTTATATTTATAACTATAGATCATGCAGTTGTTCTTAGTTAGCCTCCTAATCTTACAGTGTTGTTTTAAATCAGACATTTCTTGAGAGTTTGAGCTCGGTAATGATATATACATGAGGAATTACTTGACATTTTGGCATGGGTTTGTGTGTGCTGAATGCTGAAAATGTGTGTAGTCAATGGGCAGATATACAACGAGGTACGGGCATTGGAGTGTGCACAGACTTGATTGCCATGGCCTGGTATACTGACCTGGTATATATATACAGCTTCAAAAAAGTGTATACATTGTAATATGTGCAGTTTTTTATACATGTCTTTTGAAGTTTGACTGTAAACGATGATTAATACCTGTAGGCTGTACTTGAATGGCATTCATTTCTTCAAAGCATAAGACTACATGTATAGCCAATAGGCCTACTTTGTATTTTTTATTTATTCTCTAATCTCTAACCTTCTTGGCATGCTTCTCATCTCTCTCTCTCTATCTCTCTCTCTTTCTTTCCTTCTCTCTCTCTCTCTCTAGTCTCTATCTCTCTCTAGTCTCTATCTCTCTCTTCTCTCACTCTCATCATTTATAGGCTATGTATATCTTTCTTTCTGTTTTATCTTTCTTTTTTTCCTTTTTTTTTTCTCCTTTCTTTTTCTCCTTTCCCTGAATGTCTGTCTGTCTCTCTCTTTCTCTCTCTTTCTCTCTCTCTCCCTTTCTTTCTCTCTCTCCCTTTCTTTCTCTCTCTCTCCCTTTCTTTCTCTCTCTCTCTCTCTCTCTCTTTGTAGCTTTTTTGACCAAAATAATTCTAAATAGGCAGCAATTAATATACTACGAAAATAGCAAAATAAACAGTTATACCTCGATCTGTCTCTGCATAGCTCAAAGTTGCACAAGTCATATCAATTTATGACCAAACTATGCAAAATATGTGTTTATTATTTTCATTTTACAAACCAAAAGAATCAACTTATACAGAGTTAACTGTATGTACAACTAAATTTAATTCAGAGATAAACCATAAACCTTTGAAGATGATATCCTATCCTGATTTTGAATGCGTTTTGTATTCAGTTATTTCTTTTGATTTGTTCTGACATTTAATTTTTTAAGTGTATATTTTTCCATCTCTATTCAAAGTGTATCATCTTTTATGAACTTTGAATAGTTTTAGAAAAATATATCAAATTTATCAAATGAAATAAAAGAAATTTAAAAATCCAACGAATTCCTTTTTATATCTTGTCCAGACAATGATGGAAGAAGATGAATTTGGAGCACGTCGGCCAAGGTCGAGGAACTGGAACACTGCCGAGAAGTTCTTCCTCTTTGAACATGTCAAGAATCGTTTTGACATTATCACCGACCCTAGGAAAGAAACCGCCTCCATCAACGCTAAGAGAAGGGTCTGGGAGCAGATATATCAAGCTATAGCTAAAGAGTAAGATATGTACTACTTTAAAGGGCAGACCCATTCTAAATGTACATTGGTTTTATTAAAAGCATAATGATGGGAGAAATAGATTCGTGAAAATTTGAAGTTGTAATCAATAAAATACAAATTGGCAACTCTGTGATGAACATGTTTTCTTTGAGCCGTGCTTCCATTTGTCAACCATGGAACTGGAAATGTATGGAATTTTCAGTTTAAAGCAAATGGAAGTGGTGCTCAAAAGGTAATTTGTGTTTGATCAATTACAACTTTAAGAATGCATTATCAATTATCAATTCAATATTTCCTTCAAGGTTAGGAGCTGATTTTGCAAGAGTAACTGCTAACACCTTTTTTTCCTTCTGCTTTTCTTCATCTTTAGGTTCGGTCCTCTTGAAGAGCACCTCGTGAGAGGAAAAGGTGGTGAGAAATGCCGCACCCAGTGGAAGAACTTGGTGCAAGCAGCCAGGAAGGAATACAAGCAGTACATGGAAGCCAAGATGGTCGGCAAACGCCACAACATGACGCTCCTCTCCCGTAAGATCTGTCGACTGATGTCCATCGATCTGGACGATGGGCTGGGTGACCAGGACAACGAGGACAATGACTGGACAGAGGACCACCCAGAGTTCCGATACCAGCCTGAACTGTGCCAGGAACTCAAGGAGACCGCCAGGAGGATCAATGAAGAATATCAGCAAGGGGTTTATGAGTAAGACAAAAGTTCTTCTAGAATTGATGATGCATGGGGATGATGCACAGCATTTAAATGGTGCTGTGATTTCTGTTAAATACATTCAAATGTGCTGGCTTGTCAAATTACGTTGCTTTTATTGTTGTTGTTCATTTAAAAAGTTAAAAAATATACATAAAAAAGTGATATAAGGTGCGATACGATATAGGATATTGCAGAAGAAAAAATTGACGTATTTAAATAACCTAGACAAGCTGAGATGAATGATATTTTACTTCAATCTTGACTTTAATAGTTTAATGCATCTCTTAATTTTGCATCTCAGACATAGTGTTCACTGGAGCAGCATGTTTGTAACAATACTGAAAAAGATTACATTTATCATTCTTTTATAACTTGTTTTTTTCAATCCCAGTACGACCCTAGCAATGGATGACAGCCTTGGTGACTATGAAGAGGAAGGAAGCTTTGAAGGAACAATGAGAAGCGATTCCGATGTGGAATTGCCCGATGACGAAAAGGATGAAGATTATGCACCATCAGCAAAGAAGACTCCACGGAAACGCCGCAGGGCATCATCTGGAAGAAGTTCTGGCAAGACACCTACCAGAGTATCTGCCAGAGCTCAGGCTGCCCAAGTCAAGAAACAAGATGAGGAGAAGAAGGCTAGAAAGCGTAAAGCAGCACAGCAGCAAGAGTCAGTGTACCAATCCTATGATTTTCAAGGAGCGGGCGGAAGCGCCATGAGCGAGCACGTCCAGCAGGAAATCCTGAATCTCCACGTTGTTGAGCATAAGAAGAGGATGAATCTGCTCAATACAGAGCACAAGACAAAGATGCAGAATTTGAAAATGGAAAAGGATGTCATGGCTCTCCAGAAGGAATACTGGGTCAAGAAGATAGAGATGTTGTACGACTCCAGGAGTGGTAAAGGAAGGGTTATCGATGACGAGGGTGACGAAGATGAGGATGAGGGACCAGAGGATGATGACGATGATGAAGATGATGATGATGATGATGGTGGCGGACACGAGATGGATACCGCTGAACCTGGTCCTAGTGGGATCTCCGCTCCTACTTCTGTAGTGGTTCCTCCTCCTCCCCAAGCAGATGTCCCTGAGCACCAGGCTCCTGAGAGTGTTGCCCCACCACCCCCTTCAGAAGCCACCCCTCCTGCACCTTCCATCAATGCTTCTACAGCCCACCAGGATGTCTCATCACATATGAACCAGGAAAACATCCAAGATAGATCTACCAATGGTGCTATGGAGGCAGTTCTCCCAAGGCCGAGCCCTCCTGAAGGCTACCCTGGTGCTCCCAACCAAGATATGGTCACTCCTAACCAGCAGCCTCAGTAATCATCACAATCATCTCATCAGCATCTTCACGTTCATGTATCTAGTCCTTTTCCTCACTCTTTTTCTTCATCTTCCTTTCTCAATTGTTCAAGTATCATGTCATCGTAGATTAAAGGCATGTTTCAAATGCAACTCCAAATTTTGCACTGATTAAGGATTACTTATTAATTTGAGCTTCCGTCAAAATATTTTGTACCAGGTATCTATGCTTATTGTGTGTTATATTGTCAAGCTAAAAATATTATGTTTGCTGCCAAATGATTAAGGATTTCAAAGAAATTGAAATGGAAGAGGTGGAAAGAGTGTATAAATTTGTGACACAGTTAATAGAGAAATGTAGCAATTCTATCAATTTTCATGTTTGCTGTCATTTTGCAAAAATATTCTGTATGTATGATTCTAATACAGCTTACATCTGCTAAGAACAAAAACAGAACTCAACATTAACAGGCACCTAGAAAACATTGGTGCATCCCCAACAAAAAGTTATTATGGAGCCACAGAGCGGAGAGATACACAGAACACTAGTCAACACTGCACCCTTGTTCATTAAAGTAATTGGTTGTTGTTCTATAGAGTCAATAGGGACTTTTAGATTCGCACAAAGACAACGTGGATTGCTAAGGTCGATGTCCTTTTAATGCACTGCCTTGAATGGACGTCACACGTATCAGTCCACGCAAATCTAAAAGTCCCTAATGCAAAGGAACTTGAGCTTCAAAGCAGTTGGTTGTCAAATGTCGATATGAATTTCAAAAATTACTCAAGGGGAAGGGGAGGACCTGATGGGGCAGGGGGGGGGGGGCCTGTAACATAATATAAGCACAATATAATTTGATGATGCTTGGTTGATTATGGTATACACTTAAGATCCCTTTTTTGTTGGTAGCTTGGAATACTTGATTTTGTGACAAGTATTTTTTCTTAATTTTCACTAACCAATCCATCTAGATCCTACATGTGATGCCATGAATATGATATTTAATGTGAAATATTGATAGCGTGAATGGTGTAAGTGGTGTACTTGTAGCCAACATATGTATTTGAGTCTCACATAATGTAAATTAAACATAATCATATCAAATCAGCTGCCAACCCCTTGTTTTGACCGTAGTTAACAAGAAGTATTAATATTCAACTCTAATGTTTACAATCATTATACTCATACATAAAATGTGGACTTCAATGTACAGTCAACCTCGCACAATTCAACCTCGCACAATTCAACATCACATGTGTCAAATAACCTCATAGGTTAATGAAATGAAAAAAAGTACATTTAGTACATATGCGTAAGTCATATTTCTACAACTTACGGATAAGCCGAAGATTACGTAAGTCAACAGATTTAACTCTGTCCCGTCAAGGTGACTTACTTACGCGAGGTTGACTTAACTCAAGATAGATGCATAAGGATGACAGTTATATTGCCTAGGTAAACACTGAACATGTATTACATACTTGCAAACCTTATAAGTATTATTCTCCAAAACATTTTGTAGTTCATTTTAGTGTTTGTTTACATTTTTGTGCCAATAAACTTGCTTTCTTTTCTAAATTTCCATATTTGTATTTCATTTTAAGACTTCTAAAAAGTTTGGGAGTATGCAGTTTATCATCTACTAAATTCAACTTAATTCATGTTTTCCCACTTTCTGTGACCTTATTCTGCACAACACAAATAACCATTCATTTCTGCCCTCTACTTTCCAAATCGGATATCAAATGAGCTGAAAAAATTTAATCTATTGCTTTTTTGATCAAATTCAATGAATAATCTAACAACCATACATAACTGTGTACATTACATACATGTAATTGAATATCTTCATTTACAATTGATGGATTGGTGAATATATTTAATACATCTGTAAGAAAGCATTGATAAGCTGGAAAGTAAACAATCAGGTACTACAGAGCTCTGCCTCATTTGATTCCTATTTGAGAGACTTGATAATGATACTTATCCTCTCAATATTTCATATTTTTCATTTTTTGGACCCAGTTCCCCCCCCCCCCTCCTCTCCCTCTCTCTCTCTCTCTCTCTCTCTCTCTTCTTCTTCTTCTCTCTCTCTCTCTCTCTGTACTCTCCCTCCCCATCTCTCTATCTTCCAGGGCTCTCCTTGCTCTCTCTCTATCTATATCCCCTTTTCTGTCTGTCTCGCTCTCTCTCTGTCTCTCCATCTCTCTCTCTCTCTCTCTCTCTCTCTCTCTCTCTCTCTCACTCGTGTTTCTCTCTCACTGTTCTCTATATCTCCTCTATTCTCCCTTTTCTCAAGCATATGAAACGCATCATCCATGCCTCTGCTGTTGATGCACCCCATAACATGAATATCAATATGTTCAGTTTGCTGGAGATTGAACAATCAAGCAAAAAGGAAAGAAAGAAAGGAGAGAGAAAGAAAGAAAAAGAGAGGGAAAGAAAGAAGGAAAGAAAGAAAAAGAGAGGAAAAGAAAGAAAGAAAAGGAGAGGGAAAGAAAGAATAAGAGTAAAAAATGAAATAAACAAAAAAACAAATGTCATAATAATCACACATTAAAAAACATTACAAGCAAGAAGAGAATATTCATTTGTTCAGATATATATATATATCACCACTAGTATATCTTACTCTTTTATAGTGCTGGTGTTTGTGTAATAGTTGTATAGCTTTTTTCCGGGGGGGGGGGATTGGTGTTAGTAGAATAAAGTTCCCCTTTCTTCAATTACACTGATGGCTCTGAGCCCTGAACCATAATGTACTCTCAATTTTCATACCCTTTGGATTAATGATTTTAGTATATTGCTTCAAATTTGGTTGAAGAGCAAGTCACGCACTGAAGGGAACATTAATTTGAAAGGCTGTTCATTCATTCATGAAGGTAGAATCATGCTCGAGGGACGTATTATGCCCCCCCCCCTCCCCTCCCTGCCATTCACATTGCATATGCCTTGCAAATAAAGTGGAACCTTGTCGAAACATACTCTCGAGATCAAGGAAATTGCCTCTGTATATATATAAACCTTGTTATATCTGTGCATAAAACAAAACAAAACAACAAGAAAAGCAAACAAACAAACAACCTGGATTCAAAGAAGTGAGACAGTCACAATCATCATGTTATAATGGTTATTATTTCTTATAATTATTCTACAAATTGAATAATAATATTAATAATAGTGGGTTCTTGTATAGCGCTCATGTCTGTCAGACTTGACGCTCCTGGCGCTCCTGAATAGGTTGAATAAACTGTCATATCAGTCAGCTTACATTTATGGAAAAATATCACTAGCAAAAAAAATCTTTACTTTATTGCCATATTCTATTCCCTGAGCATCTTACACACCAGTGCTCATAAATTATCATCCTAGTGCTCCATGAACTATTCCTCCTGGTTTTATTTCACAATATATATATATAGGGATAGGCTTGCTTTGGGGTTTATGGTTGGGTTTAGAATAAGGGTTATGGATAAATATAAATGTAGCACTTTATAGTCCAGGCTGGAAGTTAAGAATTCTGTTTGTGTAGGATATTGGCCCCAATTGTCACCGAACACTGATCTGTTGAACGATCTGCACTATGGGTTGATGTACAATGTGTTTGAACATAAGGATGTCGGAGCGAATGGCTGTCACACAAGATGGTTTTGTCATCTTCGAGCAATAAATTTATGACTTTCACTTTAACCTTAGAATCCCTGGTGGATATTGTTAGGATATAAATAGGTATGGTATGCATTGAATAAACTACATATACCTGCTATTTATACATCCTCATTCAGATATTGCACAGTAAACCAATGTTTTTATAATGACGTTATTGTATTGCGCTTCACATTTCTGTATCTTATAACAAAAAAGTTAATTGAGTAGAGCACTTTTTCTCAATCCCACTTGCAATTTATTTATACATAAAAAATGGTTAACTACATTGCGGGTGAAGATTTCACTTATATCACTTGTATGCTAGAAACAAAAGGTCTTAATGTTCAACCTGCTATTTCAACCACCTCTACAAAATAAATTGTCTAAGAATAATAGTAAAAGGTAATACAAAGTTTTGGGAAATTTTGAAAATTGGGTGGATAGTGATTCTTTACAATTTGATAAATTTGGATGCCCCTGTGGATGTAGTATATAAGCACAAGCAAAATTTAGCCCCTAAAACACATCTGCTTTCGAGAACAATTGAATATAAAAATTTACAGGTGCTCCCGGTAAATTTTGATAAATTTCAAAAGCGCCTACGGCCATACAATGGTAACTGCGACCATGAAAATCTCAGAGTATGTAGTTGTGATGTATAATTCCCAAACAGGAATAGCTAATCTGTCGATTTTAGTCAAGAAACATTGTTTTATAGCTTAATTAATATCTTGACCTTGTATGGCCTTTATACACAGGTTTGATTGGGTTTGTCAAAAATTATGTGCAGAAATAATTCTTGGTAGATTATGCCCGTACCATATCACTTAATATCACCTACACATCATCCTTGGTCAAGGAAGTATGTGGAACCTCTCAGAACATACTCCTTGGGACAAGAGAAATTGACTTGAAAGAAAGAAAACCATCACAGTTCAAAAAACAAAGGATTAATTACCTGCTATAAAAAGAATTTAATACATGCAACAGTGTTCTTTATAATGGCGTTCCACTGTACGTTTCTCTGTTGATCTACCAAGTACCATTTCCATATTTTTCTCCTCATTAGGTATGTCTTCATCAGCTCGAGAATGCCAAATAGTCGGCTATTTCTGATTTGGAAAATAAGCCCGATGTTTAAAATCGCATCTTCATCAGCTCGAGACTCGACCTCGAAACTCAAGCTTGAGAAATTAGCTCGAGATATATTACTCAGCATTCGCGCATAGTGCGAGTCTTCGGGCTGGAAAAATAGCGGGATATTTTGCAAAATAGCCCAAGATTTATTAGGATGATTATCTCAACCAAATATTTCATTCATTGCAACTGCGGGCTGATGGAGACGCAAATTAGCTGGATGATTTGTGATCCGGACAGTTAAAATGGCCAGTTATTTGGCAATCTCGAGCTGATGGAGACAGACCTAGTGTTTTTTATGGGCAAATTAATGAACGAATCTCGGCCTTTCCAGCCAAACAAGGTCGTGCTTTTCTCTTCTCGGTCAAGGTTTGTTAACCGAGGTGAGAGCCCTCCCTCATTCATCAATAGATACAGGATTAGTTATCTTTAATTCATATCGATAGGTTCATTCTGTAAACATGGAACTGTCTCGGGGTGGCAGGTGCTTATCTACAGACATGTATGGTGATGGTGGCAATGGTGGTATAATGCAGTTGGATGAATTAATAAGAGGCTTAGATTTCCCTATAGTACATTTTCAGAGTATTAATTTATCCTGAGACTTAAAAATAGCAAAGGATTGAGATAATGTGATTAGCCTTTTCTATGATGCTAATTTAGTATCTCTGAGGATTGATATGGATCAAGTTTTAACTCAATTGTTGGGTTGGGCTGGTCGGAAGAGAGGAATTTTGTCGTGTGCAGGGAAGAAGGGTATTCGTAATAAACAGAATTCTTAAAGGTAATATAAAGTTTTGGTAAGGGGTCATGAATTTGGTTCAAATGAACATATTGGAAGCATATGTGATTTTTACAATATCCAATGATCGTTGTCACGGTTGAAATCGAGTCTAAAGTAATGAAATTGTAAATAATAAACTCTTTATGTTGTATAGCTCCTTCTCAAGACTGATATTACTTTAGCTTTAAACAATGTTTCTGGACTACAATCGACCAGTTTGCTATTCCCATTTGCAGATTATATATCAGAACTGCATACTCTGAATTTTCACGGTCGCAGCTAGCATGGAATGGCCTTAGGCGCTATTTGAAATATTTGATATTTACCGGGAGTACCTGTACATTTTTTATTATTCAATTTCTCGAAAGCAGAAGTGTTTTAGGGGCCAAATTTTCCAGTGCTTATAATACATCCACAGGGGCATCCAAATATATCAAAACTTTACAGAATTACTATCCATCCAATTTTCAAAATTTCCCAAAAACTTTGCATTACCTTTAATAGTGTATTAAGAATTCCTCTATCATGCGATGTGATTCTGTCAGGGATGAAAAAGGTTAACAGCCTGCTCTATTCATTCACAGGCTTTCTGCATCAAGTTCCATTGCATTTTATCTCAATATTCGATACCTTTTAGACACACATGGCTATCAACCTAGCTTGCCAGAGCACTTCAAGTTTGCTCACATTCTCATGTGACGTACTTGAATTTGCATATAGGCCCATTATCTTTGTACTTTAAAGGGAAATCCAACCGTGATAGTAAACTACTCTATAGAGGAAAGTGGACAAATTAGAGAAGTAGACTGTTGAAAGTTGGAATTAAATCAGAATAAAGATGAGAAAGTTAAGAATGAAGAAAAAAAAATTGTAATCACTTTAGGTATGAGCTCTTCAAATTGGCTAAATCAGTAATGTTTCTGTGATGTAGTGACAGACAACTTTCGTATTTGTTCCGAAACATATTATTAAATGACTAAAATTTCAACTAAAAAAAAAATACACGACT